TGACAACATCAAGAAAAATTACTATAATTAAAAAGAAATCTGTTTTTAAGGTAAGTTAAAGTCATTATTTATGCAATATAAACTATTTAGCTAAAATTATATCCTGTGTCTATTAAATTTCAGTGTGCATACATTATTTTTATCTCTCTATGTCACATTATAGCAAAACAATTTGAGTACCTGTAAGAAAAGATGCTGGGGGAGGTTTCCACTGAAGAAATAAACTCTTCTTATATTACAGGGATTTCTCACTCGGCTTTTGATCTTCGGGTGTTGCTGTTTACAAAAAAATTGATTAGCACTAAGCTCTTCTCCCCCATTATACTTGTTATTTTTTATCTTGATGTTTACTACAATAATTTGGCCTATTTTATCTTGGTGGGAAAAATTTTCCTGGATTGCTTTATTAGCATAAAATCCTAATTTGTGATATTATTGCATACCTGCAGGAAGGTATGAAAACACTCATTGCTGAAGACTTTTTTCATCCCATTTGTCTGAGCATAAAAAACCTCATATCTAATATTGTTAGATGGATAAAAAAATGGGCTTAATTTTCTCACTGTCTTTTAAAAATGGAATTTCAAACCAGGATGTATGTACAAACCAGGCAGAGTGTTTAGCTGGGACTGTGACCCAGACACAAGGTGGGAGGGTTCATGACCACTGTGTGTTTAGCTATTTCTGAATTTTTGATTTTATGACATAAAAAAGATGATCTGCTTGGAGGCAGACTTCCTATTTTTCAGTTTCCAGTATGCATTTTTAATTCTATGGAGTATTAAGCAACTTATCCCTTACACCACATCTTCCATTCTGCACTAGTAAAAACAACAGCCTGCTTCAGGTTGCTCAAAAAAAAAAAAAAAAAAAAAAAAAGAGGCATTTTCCCTTGTCTTCTGAATTCTACCATTTCTGACAACAGCCACCTGTTTTCTGTCCTTCAGAAAACCTGATCAAGTGTGAAAGCCCTGGAGGGGACCTGTCCTATCTGTTCCCTCACCACCTACAATAACCCCCATCACAGGAACAGCCAAACAGCAGCTCAGCCTGAGCAGGAGAGGGAAACCAGGGCATGGCAGGGAATGCTCCCTGAGAGCCTGGAAATGGGAGCATTAGGGAATGGAACTGCTGGATTTTACAGGCTGTGTTTTACAGGCTGCAAGCAGAGTTATCCCTCCACCAAAATCAGCTGTGTACCTCGCTGAGAGGTGTCACCGCAAGCACAGCTCCAGCTTGGCATTGTGCTAATGATATTCCTCTATAATAAGCTTGTCTGCCTCTGATCTCCCACTTTCTGCCTCTTGAAATCCTCCTTTCCAAGTCCTGTCATTGAATGGGGCGTCAGGAATCGCTGAGCTCCCACCTGAAACACGGAATCAATCTGTCACTGAGCAAATCAGATAATCTGTGTGGAGCCCTTCGGGGTGTGTGCAGGTAAAAATGCTGTCATATATTATATCATATATTAGACTGAGTGGATATACAGAATTGCTTATTGTTTGAACTGTGCTTTTATGGGAAGAAGCTTAAGTAAATATTTACCAGCTTTACCAGTCATGTCTTTCTGTGTTCAGGGGGGGATGTTTTTCAGCCCTTTCTTCCAGCAGTTGCCCTTTCTGCAATGTCCCTGTCCAGGCCCCTTTTACTGAAAAGGAGTGTAGGTGACTTTAGCTGACTTTCTATTCCCACTAAGCAATTTCTGGTCCAGAAATCATGGAAATTTGACAAACTGCATGGCTGTGTGATTCTAGACAGACAGCATCTGGAGTTGCTTTAACTGTCAGAATTCATTCCCTAAACCTGTACATCCATTTCCACTAATTCAGGCATTTGATGCAACAACCTTGAAGCATCATGAAACAAAACCAGGGAATGGAACAAATCCTGCTTGTGAGTTGTTTTGGGTTTTTTCCCTGTTTTTGGAATGAAAAATAACCTTGCTTTTGCTAATGGCACCCTCTTGTCCCTTTTCGAGGTTGTATCTTTTATTTTTTCTGTCTTTTTAAACCAGGAATTCTATCTAGGATTTACTGTGCAAGACAGAAACCACCTGCCTGGAGACAGAATTTTCCAGGCTCGGGAGCATCATTTCTGTGGTGTGGCTCACAATAACAGCACATATTTAACACGGGGAGAGCAGAGAACGTGGCTGGGAAAGCTGAAGTCTGCTCTGGCAGCTGTGACAGTGATTTAGTCTGGCAGGTTGGAGACTCTCTCAGTTAGCAACACGTAGATGAGATGCCTACAGGAATTAGAGGAGATGTGGGGACTGGCAGTGCCACATGCACACAACAAGGCTCTTCACCTACTTACTCATTATCAACTGCAGCTCTTTGTTTCCAAACATGTCCACTGAATAATAATCCATGCACTTCAAACTTGGGGCTGTATCCACTTCCTTGCTCTTTTCTCCTCTGGAACAATCCCCTCTATTTCCCATTGCTTGCTGACAATGGAATAGGGCTTGTGGGGCTTGGTGGCCTCAGAGCATCAGGATAAGGTGCTTGGAGAGGATGCTTTCAGACTAATTTTAACCACCTTTTTCCCATGTGGTAGTTGGTTACGGTTGTTCAATTCAGAAATAGCTGAAATCAAGAGCAATCCAATGTCTCAGTCTTCTACAAAGGTATTGATTCACTGTCATTTTTGTGACATCTTTTTCCATTTATTGTGTCTCGCTCAGTCTCAGCTAAACCACCAACTTGCATCAGCACTTTTGCTGTGCTGAAAAATTTCCTTTCATCTTCTGATTATCTTTATGGACACATTTTATCCATGCCTTGCTTTATTTTATATTGACATCAATTGAGGTTGCCACTGGTGGGCAATTAACAAACCTGAAGATAAAACAAAGAGCTTGTTTGCGGGGTGGATTTCCTCAAACACATTTCCTGTTCAGTTCTCTGTGTTTTCCAGTGACTTGGGAAATTGATCTGGTTGATTACACTTGCTGGTATCTCATCTACTCTCTGGGTTTTTATACCTTTAGTGGTCGAACTGTTTCCTTTCCTGCTTTAGCTTTTCTTCAAAGCAAAGTGACAGGTTTCCAGAGCTTCTGTGCAATAAGGAATTATTGGGAGAAATGTTTTCTGCTCGTTTCCACAGGAATAGGTAATGTTGGACTTGGAAACAGAACCAGGAGGATCTAGTTTATCATCCTTGAATGTGCAAAATGAAACTCTTTCTGAGGGCAGACCAAGCCCTGCTGAGCTGGTTGTTGCAGGAAAAGCCATCCCAGCACATCCACTTAGTCATCACCTTGGCAGGAGAGGAAGCTGAGAGGAAAATAGAGTAGGGGAGGGAATTCCTTCAGTGCTTTAATAAAAGAAAGATTACCCACAGTATTAAATAGATGACATACTAATGTCAAATAGAACTTGTCTTTGAAGTTTAAACTTTTCCAAAATAGAATGACTGTGGCCAATTGTCCAGTATTTGTTCTGGAAAAAAAAGATGAATTGTTCTCATCTGCAGCGATTTATTTTGTGTCACTGTTCAGCCTTGAACTGGATCTTCCAGCCCACACTGATCATGACGCTTTAGGCATGATATGTGTACAGCAACAGCATTAATTCTGTCCCTAATATTCAAAATCATTTTAAAGTCCAAGTTCGCAGTGAGCTCACTGAGATAACAAAGTGCTTCCTTCCTCATAGGTCGCCCTCCAAGCTGGAGGCAAGGGTTTGATTTATTTCTGAGTGAACTTTGACAGGGAGAATGTCTGGCAGAGAAGGCCCCGTGCTCAGTGCCAGCTGTAAGTGGTCCAAGCCACTTCACCGAGTGTTTGTTTTTACTTTGCTTGACTTCCACAGAATCCCATTTCGCAAGCTTGTTATTGGTCAGTATATTTTCCTTTCTGGAGTTGAAAACTGTTATTTCTAGTACAAATATCTATGTTAACATCCCTCAGGATAGTGTATTCTTTGGAGTTCTTTATTCTCTGTTTTGAGGAAGCAGCTTAGGCAAAAAAATTAACGTGTGATATTCATGATCAGTCATCCTCTGTAACACAAGCATAGTTGGAATTAATAGTGGGCAATCAGATCAAACTCTGAGAGCTGATTTTGGTTTAATGCTCATTAAATTCTTTCATGTGCTACATCCTGTTGGAGCTGAAAGAAATCTGGGTCTGATTCAACATGTTTGACACTTTGTGTGAATTTGAATTATTTAACATATTTGAGCTGAGATATCTTTGTGCTTGTTACCTGGTCTAAGGAGGGAATTGGCTTGGTAATAAAAGGACTGAGACGTGGATGAAGGAGCATGGATAAAGGTTTGGAAACCTTTAATTAGACTAACCATTCTCCCCCCTCCAGAATTAGAACAATGGATGAAAATGCGGTAAGAACTGTTAAATATGAAGCACTGTTGCTGGCTGGAGCCTCTGAACCAGAACAGCTGTTCCTACATGCCTGCTCTTCTCTCAGATTCCTTCCTAATCAGCCACCGAGGGCAGGAGCACCTCATCTCTGCTCTGACCTGGTTCAGCTCTTCCCATGTGACATTCCATGGGGGACAGCTGCTCTCCAACAATAGCCGGGGTCAGGAAGGAATGTTCCTGTCAGCAGGGCCACCTAGGGCTGCATCCTATGTTCCCAGCCCAAGTGACAGGGCAGTTCTGCTCAGGGGAAGGGATTCCAGGCAGGTGGAAAGGCTCACCCAGACCTGGGGCAGTGGCACTGCCATGGACAGGGGAAGGGACAGGGCTCTGACCCCCTGACAGACCTTGGCACTCAGCACATGGGGATCCTTTCTGCCTTTCCCTCGGGGGCTTAGTCAGACCCAGGGGTTTGGGGGCTCCAGCACTGTGAGTGCTGGTGACAGCACAGCTTGTGGGTGCCTCCTGTGTGTTCTGGACAAAGCACCCTGTTGTTCAGTGTCAAACCAGGTATCCACAACCCTTCAGCCAGTGCCATTCAGGCTGTGTGAGCTCCCAGTGGTGTTCACACAGCTGACAGCACACTGCATCACTTCATCCTCTTCTTTCCCCTCAGAATTATGGGTTGGAGACTGAAAACCTGAGGACTCTGTCTCACAAGCTGAATGCCTCAGCCAAGAACCTGCAGAACTTTATCACGGGTAGGAGGAGGAGTGGCCACTACGACGGCAGAGCCTCCAGGCGGCTGCCAAACGATTTCCTTACCTCTGTCGTTGACCTGATTGGTGCTGCCAAGAACTTGCTCGCCTGGCTGGACAGGTAATTAACTGTTCCTCGATCCCTTTACACGTGAGAATAATTATTTGGGGAGTTTTCCCTTTGTTCTTTCTTTGTCTCTTATACTCTTTTATTCTAATCTTCAAATGGCGGGTCTGGAATTTTGGCTCTAAATTTTATTTTACAGATTTCTCAAATATTGGAGGCAAAACTTAGCACCCTTGTCTTTCAGGAGGGTGTTAAGGTTTACTCTCTCAGCTGGATTTTGTGTGAAATGAATACTTCTGTGCATTCCAAGGTGACATCTCACTGCTGCAAGTGGCAAAGCCATTGGAAATTTCAGAGTGAAGGGCAAGGAAGAAAAGCTTGTAGAGTCTGAACTGTCTTTCAGCCATGAAAAAGACACAAAACCCTGGAGCTGAGCAAATCAATTAAGCTTATTCGAAATAAATGACAGTACTTGCTTAGGCTGAAAATTAAAGTTTCTTATTAGAGTTTTTGTCAAGAGTAGGTTTGATGTGTTAGATACAGTTGTGTTGGTTAATATTCAGCAATCAACCACTGTGTTTTTTTTAAATTTAGGAACTGAGAATTTGATGAAAAGTCTCTCTCTGACTGTGGCAAGGCAGAGAGCAAAACATAAAATAGCATCAGAGCATTTAAGGTTTGTTTTTCTTTGAAGTTATAGCAATGAATAGCTTTATCTTGAATCTGAATGCTCTGGAACGTATAAATGGCACCTCAGAAATCACAGTGAGAGTGAATCACCCTCCTTTACAGGATTTGTATAATCCTGGTGACATCTTCCTAACCTAATGCCAGCAGTCATATTCTCTCAGGCTATGACCTTGTCAGCTCTTATGAATTCAAAGGGGGTCAGATTCAGCTGGAGTTTGGGAAGCCTGAAGAAGATCGGAGCGTGCAGGAAGCTGCTGTGACTAACTAAGCACTGCTTTGCTCCCTGAAAGAAGGTGCTGATTGCTGCTGGGGAGTGATGTCACGCTGCAAAAGCCGTGTTTTTAATGAGCAGCACAAAGGGAATCTGGGCTGCTTACAGTTATTTGGAAAATCCTGTTTCTACTCTCCATAAGAAAGAAAACTTCTGGTGTTCTGGCCAAACTCCAGTTTACATCTGCCTACATTTTTCCTTGTTTCAAAGGCATATATTGCAAAAGTTGTGTAACTTGCTGCTGGAGGTGATAATTTGGTGTTTGACATTTCTGTGGGGTAAAACTGATCTCTGTGTTAAATATATCTGCTTATGTTGTAATCAGGAGTTAAACCCCCTAATGCTGTATCCACCTGTCCTTCCCCTGTCACAGGTCTCCGTTTGTCAGCGTGACAGAATATTCACTGCTGAAAAACAACATTGTCCAACTGTGCCTGGAACTCACAACCATTGTGCAACAGGTAGGAGGGGCTGTCTTCTGCTCTGGGTCCTTTTCACACCTCTGCTGAAAAGCTGCAATGGTAAAAACAGCTGAGCTTTTACATCCCCAGAAAAGCTGTTAAAGCATCTATTCCCATTCCCTGGGAGTGACAGGAAAACTTCTGGGCTTTGGTGATCCTCATACACCTGGAGAGATGGAAGGGCAGTGTGAAGTTACAGATAATCCACTTTGCTGTTGAGTAGACAGTTTCATTTCAGGTTATCTCCCACCATGCAGTGTTACACAAAAAAACACAGTGGGAAACAGCTTAACTGCTTCCAACAGGTTATTGCAGATTAAAATATGAATGATCCAGAATCTTTCAGGGACAATGTCTGAAAATACATACAAATACATCCTGAACCTGTACTGGGGCTTCTTCACTGAAAGGAGAGCCACTCCCATGGAAGTTGTTTAGTGATGAACATTAAATATTCATAACATTAAAGAACCCAAATAAGGAACAAACAAGGGTAGTAGTATTATCATCACTGGCATTAATGCATTGTGATATGGCACAGTCCACAGGTACATGGAATTAATTTATCTGATCTGTAGTTTTAGTTGATATATAAATAACAATAGTCTCTAACAGTGTCTGCCCCTGAAGTGAGACAAGGGCTGACACACAGGTGCAGAAAGACTGAGTGTAAATTAGTTTTATAAATATTTACAGTGAGCTTCTCCCCTTGTGAGTGGACACAAATATTGATGAGACAGAATAGTGTTATTGGAATGTGTAGAGAGGTCAGAGAACGGGCAGGGCTGTCTTGGAATGAAGCAAAAGAGACAAGCCTTTGTGTTTTGCACTACTATCCTTAATTTATGGTATTCAGTTTTATTCCTTTTGGAAATTGTGTCCTTTATGCATTTTTGCAGTGCAAGACAGTGATCCCTTTTTCTGTTTTCTTAGAGAAAAAATTCCTATGTCGGCATTTATAATTATTTATGTATCTTTATTAAGCTTTCTCTTACAAGGTGTTTATAGCACGAGGCTATTTTTGATTTACAGACTAAGCAAAAAGACCTTCTCTACAGTATACAAAGTTTGGATTCTGATTCCACCCTTCAGCTGATATTGCACTTCATTTGTGTGAGTTTGATTTTTTCCCCACGGTCTGGGTGAAAAAAAAAGTGTAATTATGAATTGCTGTCTCCATTTCTGTCATTCATGTCCCTGCTTTTGGCAGAGGAAATTCTCTTCTCCTCTGCCAGCAATAGTTTGGTTCTTTATTTTTTCCAGTTCTTCAGCTCTGGTCCCAAAGCTGTCCTTCCTTTGACAACTTAAACCCAATCTTTTAGCATAAACTCCAAGGTCTTCCAAGATGAAAAATGCTTAGTTAGTACTTCAGGTTGGCCACAAATCAAGTTTTGTCTTTTCCTTATCTTCTTGTCAGACCTGGGTTGTTTGATAGATGTCTATTCAGACCTTTTTGCAGTGTATTAAACTCAGCATCAGACAGAGCAGATACAACCAGCTCAGTCACAGAGAGACAGTTTTGCTGTTACTAAATCTGAGGAAAATTGATCTTAATGTGTGAAAGCAGAAATGTGTCACCTAAGCCAGAGCAGCAGTCTCGACTTGGGGCTGAAATACGAATTGAAAGGCATAACTAATACAAACCTAGATCTCAGATCCTTTCGGATAATCCTTGTTTTATGAATTATATGCATTTTAAACACCTAATTCAGCCAGTGTGAGAGCAGCAGTCGAGGCTACCCATTAAGTGAGGAATGTCTTCAACAAGGAGAGTTATTCTGTGCAAAATGAGCAGGCTTTGTGTGCATAACTCAGAGCTGCCACTCCAGGGGAACTTCCTTCTAAACTGGGGACATGAGTCTGGAACCTGAGTTTAACATAGACATTGCCTGTGAATCTTCGTGTACTGAGTGATGGGAGTGGCATACCCTTAGATCTAAGCAGAAAGCAGCTTTTTTTGGCTTCTAGGTCATATTTTTTTCTCTATGTGAGTGTGAAGATGAGATCATTCCAAAACTATATTTTTATGTATTATTATTATCATTTACATACCATGTAAATGCTATGATGAATAGTCACTTGTTTATATGTAAACAGCATCTTCTCATGTTGGTTACGAGAAAACTGATCTTTATTCTCTCATTTTGAGGGAGTCTTATAGCTCCATTAAGTATTCCATTTATGCTTGGAAATGTAATTTATTCTACTCAGTTTTCTCAACCTTTTTGATCACCTCCCCTAAATTACTACAAAAGAGTAGCACCATGCAGAAAGCTGCAGAGACATCCTGATTTTGAGGTGCAGTGTCTCATCAAAGTGTGTTTATAATAGTATGCAAAAAAGCACGATAGAAAACAGAGTATTGAAATGTTTCAGCTCTCAGGTGGATTAATTTTGAAATACAGCTCTAGTTTCAAGGTACACTTTTTGCTCTGAAAAGGAATCCACCAGACTGACTTCACAGAATTTGGATTTGCTCTTGCTTTAGTACCAAGGCTGCCCTGAGGGAAAGACAACTGGAACAACTGGGACAAAATGGGTTTCCATTTTTGTTCATAAAATGTTCCCATTGGTGAATCTTTTGTTGAGTAGAAAGAGTTCACCAGTTCTAGTCAAAGTTGGGTTTCTAATTATTCTTTTCCTGATCAAGTCACAGATGTTTAAACCTGAGATAGATTTTTTTGAAACATCATTAACCTGCATGAACAACCATCCTCTCAATGAGAAGTGTCTTTCCAAAGGATGTCAGCACAACTCAGCCTAACTTTTTTCCAACAAAAGCCAAACAAAATTTTGCCTGTTCTTTGTTAATATTTAATTAACCTCACTGAGGTAAATTCAGAGACCATATCATTAATTTTTACCCAGTTTTTTAGTCAAATACTGTGTCTTTAGGATTAAGGTTTTTTAAAAGCTATCTTGTTTGCAATGCAACTGATAGAAATTGTGGTTTCTTAGTAATTTTTAAATTAGCCCCCCCTGACCAGGCACTTGGACCAGATAACCTCCAGAGGTCCCTTGCACCTGAATTATCCTGTGATTCAGCAACTGCCATGAAAAATATGGGTGCTATTTTCAGGTTGAACTTTGCAGACTTCAGCTTTCAGCCCCTCGATCTCATTTTGCTTGCATTTGCTAAAGAACGCTTTGTTATCTAACATCTGTTCACTCTTCTCCAAATATAGATTATGATCAAGTCTCTCCCTTAAATAATGCAGGTTAAATAAGTTGCTTTAGTGCATTTACCATTGCCTCTTTGCCCGATTTCACAGTAATCTCTTTCTTCTCAATGGGGGGATTTTAGAGGTGTTTCATTTTACGTGTGTAAGCAATGCATCTTTAAACATCCCTCTGTCATATCCACCTCTCCAAGGCTGATGTGGGACTTGACTGCAGTGTTATCTTGGGAAATGCCACTCGACTGGCAAACACCACCAAGTTTTAAGTTCTCTTCCAAGCTGCTGCTTTATAGGCTCTCTGTTTCTTTTTAGTAGCTGACTTAACTCATGCTGCTTTATTGTACTAAGCTAATGAACTAAGGATTTTACATATTTTTATGTGTAGTTAACTGTCCTCAAGACTTGCCATAAAACATTCTTTATGGTATCTGCAGATTTCTGGAGTACTTGCAGTTTTTTCTTTCGGAATTAGAATTTATAATTTTGAGCCCAGTATGGGCGAGCACAAGTGCTCCTGACCTTTTCTCTTCATGAATATTCACAAGAGCTGGTTCACTTTATCAGCGTGATGAAGGTGGACTGTACCTCTGAAAGGTGGGGTGTTCAGGGCAGAGCAGAACTTGGCTTGTTTGCAGTACTGCTGCTGGGACTGGTTTTATAATTCCTGTGTTTCATCCTTTTGCAGAGGGGAGATGGAACACAGCTTCTACATTTTTTTCAGATTATTTTAAACTCTGAGAAGAAATATTTTTATCATGTCATCTTGTTACTGGAGGACGTAGAAAGAATGTGACCATAACTATTATTTATTTTCCTAAGAAAAACAGATCAACATTCTATAAATGGTAGCCTGGAAGATTATTTTTTAACGAGATCCCTAGTGCATTGCTATGTATCAGAGAGAAATAAATCAGAAGAATATTGTGACCTACATATCTTAATGTTTTAGTATAATATTGCAAGTGCTTTTAACCTCTCAGTTAAACTAGTCTGATGTATTTAAAAGAAAAAAAGTCAATATGCATCTGTTTTGGAAGGAATCCCAAAGCCATTAACATTTTTCATGCTAATGTAATCTTGAATGTGCAACATAAGAACAGCTAACATTAATTCTGCTCTACAAAACAGTAAAATTTCAGTTTTACTATACATAAGTCTTCTATTCTTTGACCTGAAGTAATTAAGTTTGCTCAGAATGAAGGCCATATTGTATTTCTAGTGCAGAAATTAAAGGAATAATTCAGAAAGGAACATCAGCTCAGAAGTCAAGCTGGAAGCCCTGCTGTGATGGTTCTGTTCTCTTGGTGCAGGGAGGGTTAAAAGGAGATGGTGGATGTGCTGTTTGAAGTGTGGAAAACTTGTAGGGAAAACTGCCTTGGGCATTGTCAACCAAACTGACTAATTGAATTCTTTTTTGTGCCCTAGAAAATAATAGTATGAATACAGAAGAAACATCAAAGGGATACTTGACCATGAAATGCTAATATAAATTCTTCTGTGTTCCTTGGCGCTAACAAATATCTGATTTTAACTTTCTCGTTCCGTAGCAATTTTCTTTAAGCTGTGTTCGCTTGGAAATTAATTTCTTCACAGGAGTACCAAAATAAATATTGCCTTTCGAGCTGAGGGTGTGGCAGTTCCCTGTGCCCGGGCTGAGGGCTTGGATAGACCAAAGCTGATCTGCAGCTGCCTCAGATGGGCTCAGGGACAACCTCCTCAAAGTGGCCCCCGGGGAAGGAGGTTTGGGAGCTGGATAAGGAGCAGACAAGGATTTGGGATGCTGGACAAGGGGAGCAGAGACCTGCCAGGCAGCTCCCATTTCTTTGGCAGAGTGTCCAGCCCAAACTGACCATACACGAACCTGCCTCTGGAGTGTGTGGAGTGAGGATGTTGGAACTGTGTCATAGAAAGGCTGAAGCAATTAACTGTTATTGCTAAAATACAAAAATCCAGAAAAGAGGAAATCCTGAGAACTAGGGAATCTTAAGTTATGTGACGGGATCTTTCAGGTGTATCACAGTTAACTTTTACTTGAAAACTTATTCAAGGAAATAAAACCGAATAAACAAGAAAGGTTTTTTGACTCGTCATATCCTCATCCTTAAAAACGAGTCCTGAAATCCAGGTCTGGCGTTGTAGAAAGCTTTTTCCAGTGTGGCATAATCCTTGGAGAAGTACTTAATTTCCCAAGGTAATTTGTGCTATTAGCCTTTAATTCACTGAAATGTAGGTGATCTGGGGCAATATAACATTATACACAAGACAGCTGGTGATGCTGAAGTTATGGAGGGGCAAGACTGATTATTCTTAAAATGGTAGCTAAAATGACTATTCCAAAAGTTACAACTTTTAAACTAAGAGGTTCGTCAGGATTATTTAAGAAAGAGTTAACAGCACAAAGCCTTCTTTTATTTCTTAGCAGGAAATTCAATGTCATATTCATTAATTGGTTTCATTCTGTTTTACCACAGGATTGTACAGTGTATGAAACAGAAAATAAAATTCTTCATGTGGTAAGTAATTCTGCTTTTATTCTCTAATCTTACCTTGCATGCTTTAATGATTTAAAAAAAAAAAAAAAAAAAAAAAAAAAAAAAAGGCTACTCTAGGAAAATAAAGTTTCTTATTATTTGACTTAATTTTTGACAAATTGTATCAGTGGCTAAAAGTCACAGTTCCCTGCAGTATTGCTGTCTGTTAGACCTGCAGTTAATTCATACATAATTATTGTTCTTAGGTTGTTTTGGAAGCTTCACAATACTCTTACTAGCGTTATATTCTTGCTGGGATTGCTGGTGTGGAATTCCAGCCCTCGGAGCCATAGACCTGGTGTATCACTGGTTGTCACACTGAGCCCTTTGTGCCTTCAACACTCAAAAAATCTGATGACAAAGGGGAATGGAAGAATCTTATTCGAGATTATTGATTAGATATCAGCCTTTAACTTCAAATACTCCATATATTCCTGGTACCAGCACTGAAAACCTGTCCTGGCACTGAGATAGAGTTAAAGCCTGTGGTGAAAGGGAACTCTCAAAGGATTTACAAGTTCAGATAAGCTTTTGACAAGCTCTGCCCAAGTGCCTCTTTTTTTTTAGTCTTTTACACATACTCTGCTTCCAGCAGGGATTAAATTTTTTCATAAAACATTGATGTGCTGTTAAATTCAGAAAGCATGCAGTGACTTTCAGGAAAAAATAAAAGTTTACTATTGCAAACCTAGATCTGCAAAGAACTTTTAAAATCACCTGGTATCTTTCGGGATTTGGAGTGCATATATATACATACACATATATATAAAAATATCTTTTAGCCCACAATTCTAACAGAGTGGGACTTCTAGAAATACATCTTTAGCAGGAATGTTACTTTTGACTTTTCTGCCTGCTCTGAATGGAAGCCTACAAAGACAGAAAAGAGAAAACTTTCCATTTTTAAGTATTCCATAAGCTCAGCAGTGAAAGTGTGATGAACCTTGGGGAGCCTGGATCCCAAGGCAGTAGAACTCCTTTTAACCTGAGCAAAATCACCTGAAACAACTTGAGCATCTCAGAGAATTCAGGCTCTGAGAATCAACCCCTTTAGCATTGTAACTCTTGGTGAAATGAGAAGCACCACTATTTTTCTCGCAGCATCTTAAAAGCAAATATTACTTCAAAAATACTGAATTCAAGGATAAGATTTGTGAATTGTTCTTTTTATAAAAAATTTTAATTTTTTTATGACCTCTTTATTCCTAAAAATCAAACTCAAAATTATAGAAAATACTCAAGTAAAATAATGGTGATGTTGTAAAGTAAAATTTTTAGGGTTTTTAGAGACAGAATCTCCAACTTTTAAACACCACGTGGAATTTTGTTTTATTTCTGAAAGATATCAGGAAAGATACACTTAGAATTCAAAAAATATTTATAAAATTATGACCCATGATTGATTTTCTTCCTTGGTGACTGGAGAGATTCCCAGAGGTGCAGATTTGCCTGGAAGAGCTCCAGGGCAGGCTGTGCTCAGGAGCTGTGATTGCAGGTGCACAGTTCCCATTCCCTCCCGAGTCCCATGTCTAGACTGTGTCTACTCTGCGAGCCAGGCATTATGGGAAAAGCTAAATTAGGAAGGAGAGATCCCTTTGGGATCACTTGAACTGCATTCCTTTTTTTTTTTTGGAATGCCTGTTTGGATACCTGTTCAGGCAAACGTGGTTATCAGGACTACATCAGTTCTCTAGGCTAAGATAATACACCTGATATAATTAAAAAGTACAACCTGCTGGTTGTTCTTTCTCTCAGCAGTAAATGCAGGTTGTTCACTTCATACATTGCACCACCCCAGCAGTGAAAATAAGGAGTTTTGATGTAGAAGTTTGCATGACTTGTTCAAGGCTTAGTGGTCTCCTAAAGATTCTGTTCTTGTCATGGCCCATGGAAAGAAATGCCATAAATGTGTTCAGGTGTTGGATGGCCTGTAAAACAGGTGGGAAGTTCCTCTGCAACTGAACTTCTTGAAGGAACCGTTTTGGTTTGAGATGTCCTTAAGTTCACTTGGCTTCTCCGTGGGCTTGGAACTAGTACTTTGGTCCCTTCTGATATTTTCATGCCAAAAATACTTCAGCATATGCAAATGTATCCTGTGATGTTGCCAGTGCCACTCCAGACAGTGCTTCCTGAGCCTGTGGTTTATTCATAAATTCTGCTCTGTTGCTCCCATTTATACAGCCTCAGCCTTTCTATTATTTACAGCTGGTTTCAGGCCCCTATTGAACTTCTTTAACAGCAAGCTGGTATTTTTGATTAGCCTAATACAATTTTAAAAAATATTCTTCTACAGAGATTTTAGTTGATTTTGGAATCGCGAGGAGATCTTGAAGAATCCCACAATTAATTTCATAGAATCATATGATCATAAAACAGTTTGGGTAGGAAGAGACCCTAAAGACCACCTTGTTCCAGCCCCCTGCCACGGGCAGGGACACTTTCCAGCAGACCAGGCTGCTTCGATTGAAAAGCTCTTTGTTGTTTCTTTGCTGAAAAAGTATTTGCGTGAGACAACTCCAAAGTTTTAAAACATCAGAAAATAGGGAGTGTTCTCTCTGGGATTTACTCGTCATCTAGTCTGTACATGTGCCTTTGAGTTTTAAGGCATAAGAGAGGTTTCAGTTGGAACTCACTAATATTTGAGAGGCCAATAATTCCAAAGCCTGTGCTCACAGACAGCCACCAGTCCCCCTGTAGAAGGGCAGTCCTGTCCATTTTTTCAGCCATCCAGTTTTCTCCACCTCTGGGAGAAGACAGGACCTAAAGTTTTGTTTCGGGGTTCTGGCCCAAAGCTGAACTGTTTGAAATCTGTCACTGGTGACTCTCAGCTGCAGCCACGCACATGAATGGGACGCTTTGCATCCTGCAGCTGCTGCAAAATGCAGATGCCACGTCCAGAGCTCCAGAGCTGTCCCTGGATTTCCACATGAGTAACTGTACAGTGAATGGAAACGCAGCCTACAAATTCAGGCAGTTAACTTATTCATTGTGACAACTTTATTTGTTTAACTTATATGTAAAGTGTCAAATGAGATATTAGAAAGCCTCATGCTTTTGCAAATGCCTGAAATAAAACTTCCCTTAAGGGATTTCACTAGAATTTGCTATAATTAGGAAAAATGAGAGTATAGTCCCCAAAGGAAAATAGATGCACGGCTTCAGCTGGAAACCCATTCTGAAATTCATCTAAACGAGTGCTTTCATATTAGGGTCAAGCATTTTTTAGGCATAGCCTTTTTGAAGGAATGCTTTGAGCAACACATGGAAATTTGGGAATAAATCTTTACACATGAATGTTCCCTGGAACAGCTCAGCTCCTTTCTGATCCTTGGACTTTGCCTTTGATGGATGGGTTTAATCTGTCAGACTCTCTGTCACCACCCATGCAATGGGCTGTGCAAGGTGTTTGTGTGGATTGGCGTTTAGATTTTGAGATCTTTAGCTGGAAGGCAGGATAAAATAAAATTGTTGCATAGCTGGAGTGATCTGAAATATCAGTCAAAGGATGTGCTCAAAGATGCATGAGAACTTTACTTCAGGAAACGGATTAACCAAGACACTTCACTGGCAGTGTAATTTTTTAACAAAGGAAAAAATGTCCAAGTTGTAGAGCAGAATTCACTTAATTTTCACAGTTCTTAGGGATGATCTCATCATTTGGTAGCCAAAATAGGTTATTCAGTCAGTGCAGAAGACATTTCTTTTTACATATTTCACTTGAATTCCATTGTATTTAGAATCATACATTACAAAGACAGATAAAATAAAGCTCATTGGATGTGGGGATTTTTTTTTGAAGTGCACATAATTTGGAGTGGAGAAGATATTTCAGAGACACAGACATTCCCAGTGCACAGTGAACTGGACACACATGCACATTTGCTTGACCTTTATGGATGTTTTCTGTTCCCTTTACCACTTGTTCTTGACTTTCATACACCTGTAGTTTTGACGGTGCCAGGAGTTCAAATGGTCTGTTTATTCTCAGTTAGGAGAAGAATTTTGCTGGTAGTTTCAGTTTAATACAAGGAATTACATTGACTTGTTTTTCTTCGTAGTGTAAAACCTTGTCTGGGATTTGTGACCACATCATTTCTCTCTCATCTGATTCTCTGGTGTCACAGTCAGCACATCTTGAGGTGGTTCATCTCACCAGCATCATGCCCAGTGAGGGGCTGGTAAGTAGCCAAGCAGTTTAAATTTAACTCTTAGAATACCCAACACAAGCCTCAGTTCCTTAGGGTGGTTCGTTTTTTGAGTTTATCAAGAAATCAAAATGTACTTTTATGCAGTACTCTTTTTTTGTAAGCTGAATCAAATTTCTAAAGGTAATTTAATTGATATTTAGCTGAATAAAGGGATTGTATTTTATATTTTTTTAATTAAAACCCGTTTTATCCAGGGCTTCACGTGCAGCTGGTGACTGTATGAGCAGCTAAAGAAAAGTTCTGGTCCTTTGATAGCCATATTGCAGCTTTTGGAATATACTGAAATAACCCCCAAATACACAAATATATACTAATAACATTAACTAAATGTCCTTAATGAAATTAATGGCATTTAAGCATTTGAATGACATCTAATCATTTGAAAATGATTAGGGGGAGGTTTGTTTCTTGGACTTGCACACAAACAGTTACGTGATCAGTTGAAATAAACTTCCAGAAGTAGCAGCCCAGGAGCAAAATAAATCCCTTCTATTTGTAAATTGTTCACTGAGCAGCCTGGTCAGGTGTCCCCTGCACATCCCAGCTGCTCTGTGTTAGTGATGGGTCACAGCACTGAAATGTTCTGCAGAGATGAGTTTCAGAATTATTTGGCTACAGCCCTTAAATATTCATGGACTGCATTTTTCTGGACAACGGATTTTGGTGAAGTTTTAGCGCTCAGCTGGTAAAGGTTTATTTCTCCCCTCAGCAGTCCCTCACTTTACAATCATTCTGATATCAGTGGGCTGTAGGAGGATAAGGATTGTGCTTGGGAACCTAAGATCCTAATAAAAGCTGGAATTTAGGGTGGCACTGCGGGCACAGGGATGTTCTTGCGTGTTCTCCTCCAGAGCCAGCCTGCTTTTCCCAGTCCAACCTCTTGGACTGTCTTCAGCTGCCTTCTCAGAAGTTTTTTAATTTCTTCCTTTTCCCTATGAGAGGAGTAACTCAGGAATGTTCCTTCTGGAGGAAGCAGTTGGAGGAGGAAAAAAGGGGAGAAGGGGGTAGAGAAATTGGCATCTGCAAGGCTTATCTGCAGAAAATTCCATAAGTGACAAATTCAAATCCATTTGAGTGCCACTGTACACAGTGTGGCACGTTTCCTCCTTGTAATTCAGCATGATTTACAGATTTATTTTAAATTTCTGCCAGTTGAGACGTTTTGTATGATTTCAACATCTTCCTCTTTGTTCTGACACTGAATAGTGACAAACATCATATGCAAATCCCGTCAAAGTTGCAAGGGCATAATTATTCTGAGGTATGCATATTAATTTGGGAATGATGTATTTTAATAACATGCAGGGGGGGCTGTGTGCCTGCACAAGTTTACTTTATTCTTACACTGATTTAGTCAACAAAGAACATTCCCAAGCATCAAGCACATTTCATTTCCATTCTGTGCCACCGCAGATGCTCAGCCCAGTGTGTAATCCTGATCCTGGACACAATTTGCTTGCTGTGCTGCTGCATCCTGATGGCCAAACATGTTCCATTTATGGCCCAGTGTCCCCTCTAGCCTCGACTTCTGGGTTAGTGCAGGGGTATCAGGAAATCCAGGTCGATGTGTTTGCAGCTCCTGAAGGAAATGTGCTGTAAATCTCACTGGGTTTGACTTGCATTAAGAGTCTCCCGCCCAGCACTCTGCATCACTGGATGGTTTTCCTTTCTGTGCACAGATGGGATGTATTTCTGCTGGACTGATTAGAGGACAGTTCATTATCAGTGCTGAAGAGAACATGAACACAGGGTGGATGTGTTTCCCTCAGAGATGATGGAGCACAGTAAGCAGGGCTTGGCACTGCTGGTGCTTCACTCCAGTCATGGCTGTAGATCTAGGATGGGGTGCAGGCTGGGGAAGGACAGAAGGAGTGGAACCATCTCCAAAAATAACATCTCCTATGGGAAACTGGAAATGTAATGGTGTGCAGGCTGAGCCAGGTGTCTGCCAGGAGTCCTTGAGTATGAAAGGTTTATGTTCTAATCTACTGTTGGAGTATGATTTAAACCTCTAAGGCACGAGTGACCAAGGTGAGAGATGCTGGCTGTGCTGGTGTGGCCTGTTTGGTTCACATTTTTCCTACATCCCCCTTTTCTCTGGTAGACCATCACCTGTGCTGCACTGATGGTGAGGGCTGTGTGGACTCTCTCTGGGTGGGAGAACCACCGTGTAGATCTCCATCCCCAACAAGCCAAGAAAAGGGCAGTGAGTGGGCACTGCTGACAGAGGACATGAGACAAATACTGCAATCAGAATTGCCTGACAATTTATCCTTTTTTCCCCCCCTTTTTTCCCTTAGATAAAGTGAAATCACAGTGAATGACTGAGTTTTCTGTGCCTAATTGTGAAGGCTCTATAACGTGTTAGGTTGGAAAGTTCCTTGTAATCAGTTTTGCTGACACTGTGTTCTGTTTAGAAGAAAATATGAAAAAGGACTATAAATGGGAATAAAAGAAAAATCATGTGAAAAGGAAAAGAAAACATTAATCAGAATCAAATATAGAACACAGTAATGAATTACAAATGGCTTTCTCATGATTGTATAGCAGATTTTTTCCACAGGATCTCTGCTCCATTCAAGAGAAAAATGAGCACTATTCAGTGAATGGAAAGTATTCAGAGTTCCATTTTTATCCTTATCATTCAGTGTAGGGGTTGAGGCCTGATTTACCACACTTCAGCTCAGCTCTGCATTCCCTGGAGTTACTAATTTCACTGTGAGTTGGTTTATCTATTTTTTATATGGCCTTACTGAGTGCTTCACAGACACTAATTAATTCATCCTCCCAACACGCCTGTGAAAAGGATACTGTAATTTGAGTTTTACAGGTAGGAATCTAACACAGCAATATGTGTCAAAATCACAAAAAATCTGCTTTTCAAGAGCAGCTTACTGCACAATTTTCCAGAGCATTTGTTATTTTTATGGCATAATTTAAAACAGTCTCTCTTGGGTTTAAGTGTAGCGAAGATTCCCACAGCTCCTGAGAACGGGGTTCACACAGGGTTGGCACCTAGAAAATTAACACAGTTGTTCACCACTAGTGAAAAACGTGGTGTAAACGACACAGATTTATGCAAATTCAGTTATCTGGAGTGATATTCCGTCGACTTAATTATGAGTCTTTCACTATTTTCAAAACTCCACCGGCAAAATTTTCATTATGTGCCTTTTAATTTTTCCCCAAACGAGCCAGGAATCCTTTGGACGTTGCACAAGCTCCCACATAAAGGGAATTAATTTCCAGGTCCAAGTCCATGCGGTTCCTGCACGGAGTCAGGACTCCTGTGGAGCAGTGTCTGTGTGTTTAATTGTGTAAATAAATTCGGGATTACAAAGGCACTTGAAGTCTTTGGAACGAGTATCTTCAGTCTGAGCATTTTCTGACTTTCTGTCCATGCTTTTACAAGATTAAAGTCGACTTTAGCCCCCACCCCAAAATACCTTCCTTTGCCCTTTGCTTTCCTAAAAACCAGCCTTGTCTCCTGCCTTGCCCAGGCCCCTCTCTGCTGGTGTTTTCATGGCAGTTTGCTGGGCAAAAGGATCTGCACTGGGAAGCACCCGCTGCAGGTTCCGTTCCAAGCCCTGATGGCTGTGTTTGCATCCTGAGCTCTGCAGGCGTTTCTTGGCCTCCAGGAACACACTGGGATTTTTATCTCTGTCTTCCCACCCCTTCCCAAGCTGTGCCAGTCAAACTGGTTCCTACTTTTCCCCTTTTAGCCACTGAATCGTCCATGGCAAATAATTTTTTCTGTTTCATTTTAAAGTAACTTTAAAGGTTGTAAACCACTTTTTTCTCCTGGACTGTAGCACCGGGCATGGTAATACCATTTATAGCTGAAGTGACCAGCCCGAATAAGGGGTCTGGAAGGCAAAGCTTTGTATCAAACAGTCAATTTGACAATTTTCAAACGAATTCCTGTAGTAAAAAGGTACTAGATTGTGAGAACCGCTGCTAGCTCTGACAGAGCATGCACACATAAGTTTGTAGGAAATAGAATAGAATAAAATAATAATTTCAGAAAACTCCTTTCCCATTTTAAATTTCTTGGCATCACGGATTCACAATGAGAAACAAGCCCTTGAGTCAAGAGTTGGTATTACTGTTGGCAGCTCCTGAGCTTGCTGCTAAATTGGAGGGTGAGAATAGGTGAAGGGCTGTGAGAATCTTACCATCAATCACCTCAGATCAACTGCAGAGCCGGCTTTGGAGCCCTTTTAACATTAGATAAGCAGGCAGTGTTTCATTTGAGATGATGGATATAGGGATTTTCCATAGGATGGGATCACTGAATGCTTCTTGAGGTTTGGGGCTTTTTTCCCCTCCTGCTCTTGGATGATCAGGGATTGTCTGGAGCGGGAGATTTTTATTTATTTATTTATTTATTTATTTGTATCACAACCAGTATTATTTTGGACTAAACTTTTTTTTTTTTTAATCTTCTGAACTTGATGTGCTGTCCACATATTTAAAGATACTTCTGTGTGACATGCAGCTTTAATCTGCTTTGATGAGATTAATGATTCCTCTTACGCAGGAGATTCTAAATGGGGGGGGGGGGGGCAGTTGGGGTTTTATGGTTTGGGTTTGTATCTTCTGATGTCTGAGGAATGTTTTGCTTCTTTCCTTCTGGAATGCAGGAGCACTTTTATTCCTCTTCCTTTCACTTAGTTGTTCTCTCTTGTGCCTGAGCTTCCTACTGCTGATAGAAACAGTTTAATCTGCCACCCTTTAATGAAGATCTACACTTATATCCACAGCTTTGTTAACTTTTCTGTAGAGGGAACTTTTCCTGTCTCATTTTAAGAATTTAAGGAAAGCAAAGACTGGGCATAAACATTTCCATAAAACCAGCTGTGGGAAAAAAATCCAACAAACAGATTTTTAATGCAGTGTTTTGTCATATCCCAGCAAATAACTGGTATGAAAACATGAATCATCTGATAATAGTTCATTGATACCCAAGAATGAGTAATGGCCAGCAGTTGGAAGTGTTGGAAGAACTAGCCAGAAATGATCATCCCAGGAGAGTTTATTCTTTCTAAATTCAGAACTCTCCAAGTATTGTCTGAAATATCCACAAATTAACCTGGGAATAATTGCTGACTCTTAAGAACACACTGCTGTCATCATACCCTGGTTAATTAACCAGATGACTCTGCGAGAAATTTTTCAAGATAATTCCCCTGACAACTGGGTACGCTGTTTTCTGGGGAAAAGTCTCTTCAAAATGGGATTTTGAATGGTTGATGCCTCCCCCTACACTTCCAAAGGTCAGATTTTAATTAAAACCCTTTAATTCACTTTGTCACCAGGGGACAGTGACAGAGTTGCTCAGGAACAGTCAGGTTCTTGGTGTGATGCCTGTGAAACCCTTCCTTGTCCTGGAGCACCCTGCATAGATCAGCATCGTTCTGCAGAGTCTCCTGTCTGAGGATTATCGTGATTATTGAAGAGCAACTGTTTATTTCTAACCCACTAATTGTTGACTAATCTGAGCCACCTTCGCAGTGTGGGGGGTAATCCTCGACCCTTGCCCACAGAGAAGGGATTTAGCTTGTCCTTGTTCTGTGCTCAGTGGAATTCCAGGAGAAACCGGAGAGAATAAACCCCCATCCTTTACAAAAAAAGGAGATGAGTAATTTTGAGAAAGAACTCCAGTAAAAGTCTGCTTCTAAGGGCAGAAAATAGACCAGTGTGTTATGGGGACTGAAGAGGCAAAAAGACTTTAATTGAGGGGGAAAGAGATGGAGGGATGTGGGAGACAGCAGGAAAAAACCCTCATTTCTCACTGAAGGTCTCCCATCCAGAGCCTAATGGATTCCAAGATTCCAGAGGTTCCTTTGTTTGGGTGCTTTTTGTCTGTGAAAACCACTGACAAAAGATTCTTCTTGTTTGGTCTTAACCCGGTGTTTTTGCTGTTTTATAACTGAGACCTGTGAGGGAGTTTGCAAGCAGTCTGTGTAAAAAGTTATGTGAGAATAATTAGTTTACAAGAGAATATCTTAATTTCCATTTGACTTCATAACAGAACTGATTAGGATCCAAATAGCTGATATCTGGATAGACTTTTAATAAATTACTGTGCAAGTTAATTAAAGGTTCTGCTTATGTAAAAATCATGGAATCACAGGAAGGTTTGGGTTGGAAGAGACCTTAAAAGGTCCAACCTCATGCCATGGGCAGGGACACCTCCCACAAGACCAGGGCACTCAGCCTGACCTCACACACCTCCAAATTACAGAATATCCCTCTCCTGGATGTGCTGCATCAGTGTGACTGCTTTGAGCCACAGGTAAAACAGAAAATCACTTTAAACCCAAAGAAATGCCCCGCCAGTCCCAGCTGTGTTAACAGTTGTCACAACAGCACCTGGGCTTGGGAAAAGCCAGGGTTGTGGTTCAGTTCCTCACTGCAGCATTACAGCAGGCTTTGCCTGGAAATTATATTAGTTGGCAACATTTTTCAAACCTTTTTTTTTTTTTTTTTGGTTTATTAACCTTAAAAAATGCTTACAGAAGTGGAAACAGAATGAAACCAGGATGAACATCAAGACAGCCAATAGCCCATTAAATTGAAAGAAAGGTCCAGCTCTTTTGCCTGATTTAGCCCACCAATACTTGCCTGCTTTTTCAGGGGTCACAGAATTAACAGCTCTTTAAATGACTGAGTTTTGCAGTTTGGGCTGTTCCTTATGAGCCAGAATAGATAATTTTAATTTTTCACAGGAAATTTGATGAAAGTGATCCCCTTAAAGCCTTTTGTTTGTATCCACAAACTACTTTGTGTGTAAATATATATATATGAGGAAATTAAATTTTTGAAGTGTAAAATCTGTAGGTGTAATATATATCTATTTTATATAAAGTACCTTGCATTCTCAACTACACAAAGTAAGAAAAAAACCCAACAATTTTATTTTGTTTATGTAGAATAATCTTTCCAGGTTTTCAGGTAACAGAGATGTCGAGGGGATACTCTGCTCCTGTAATGGTCAATAGCAAACAAGCTCATTATCTTTCTTTTGGGAAAATAAGGATGAAAGCTCTGTCTAGGATAATTTGAAGGCTATGAGTCACTCACTGAAATTGTTTATTTTTTTATATATTCTTAAATTTTAATAGCTGAGATGAAAGAGCAGATAGCAAAATGTAGGGTAATTCTTAGTCATTAGTCAGGTTTTATGTCTCTCAGATGGCATATGTTAAGAGATAGAATTGTAATTTGATTTTTTCCAGAAATACACAGAGATTAACAAGAGGCCAAGAACTTCAGGAAGAAAGATGGGGTCAAATTTCATGAAAAGTTTAGCACAGTGTCCTCTTTTGGCCTTAAAAATCTTGACGTGTTGGTTTGTTGAGTGGGAAATGAACCTTGTCAAAGCAAGTAGGATGTCAGAGCTGTGATATCAAATTTGATATTAAAAGTGTGGCTGTAAATGTGCTGCTGAGATCTCCCATGTGCTGAAGGAACAGCCTCCCCTGGGGTGGGCAGCAATGTTGTGAAACATTCAGGCTAAAAGTTCACTCTGGAAATCCAGCATAACACAAACTTAGAGAGATTAAATATCTATTTATGGCTTAGATGGAGACTCCACATCCCATTCTCCGTGAGAGCCTTCCCAATTTTTCAGGATCTAGTGCTCTGGTTTCTGTCTTTGAGATGGCAAAGAGAAAGAACCACATGTTTGCCAGTAACTGTTGAAGGTACCACGGAGACAATGGACTGGCAAACACTTCTCTGGAGAAGAATGTCCTGGAAGACTCACCACAAGCTTGTTTCTTTCAAATAATCATAGTTTATGAAAGTGATTTTGCAAGACTTGCTAGATTTAATTTGGACATCTTTGGTTTTTACAAATGGAACAGTCTCACTAAAGAAAATATCTGGTCATGAGGAGTAAAATCTAAAATGGAGTTTCTTACGCAGCAGAGTTAAGCAGCCTCATCAGGTTTAGCCAGTCTTTATTTTAAAGATTTAAATCAATTTAAAACTTACTGAAGTGGAATTAGTTTACATCAAGGTAGAAGTCACTTTTAGTTCTGATGAAAACTCCAAACGGATGCAGCAAGAGCAGGTTTCTCAAACCTTTTCAAGGCCTGATCTTCTCCAAGTCATCAGAGATTCCACAGCCTTGCCAGCCTGTTCCAGCGTTTTATCATCCTCCTGGTAAAACTGAAAACTAAAAATTCTTTAACTGAGTTCCAGCTTGTGTCCCTTGCTTCTCATCCTCCCACTTGCAGAAAGAGTTTGGCTCCATCTCCTCTTTAGTCCTCCAGTTCAGGCAGATGTAGAGAGCAATATCATCTAAACTTCAGAGTTTGTTAACTTTGGGGTTTTGCGGGGAGGACTGGAGGTGATGTTTGTGTGAACGTCTCACCTAAAGTTCTTCATTAGCATTCAGGAATCCTGGAACCGATTTCTCTGAACAAAATGTCCCTCCCTATGGCCGGGGGCTCCGAGCTTCGGTTTTGACAGCACAAGGTGATGCAGAATTACTGAAAGGGTGATAAATCAGCAGTACAATGTAGCAATTAGATTAATTAGACTCCAAGATGTGATGGAATAAGGGCGGTACATGCAGAGATGTGAAGCTCTGAGCTCACTCCTGGGACACAGCACACAGGCAGTGGAGCCTCCTGCCCCTGCAGGCTGTGTGTGTGTGCACAGCTCCAGAGATCCCACCCTGCTCCTCGCTCTGCATCTTGTCAGTCACCTCCTCGAAGCAGAATTCTTGCTGGACTAATTACAAAGCTGCTCTTAGTTCACCGAGCTCATCTTCCTCCAACAACTGGCAATCTGAGCCCTGGCTTGTGTCTTTTCTGAGTTGGCTATGGCTTGGTTTTTACTGGATCAGGGGCTCTCTGGAGATGGGGCATTGAAGTTGAAAAGCTCCCCCCGTTCATGCCCTCGGTTTCAATGCTTCTTTCACATCCTTAGGACTAAAAAGAGGTCCTGTTAAATATTTCAGGTACTGAATACACACCCTTTATGCTGATGCTCAGTGTTCAATTCCGTCCACAAACTCTGGGATAAAATAAAAGCATTAGGGGAGAAAACAATGCAGTGTTTAATGGTCTTTATATATATTTGTTCAACCTGGATTTGCAAATGTTAATTGTCCACAGTTCCTTCCAGTCGGTTCAAATGTTATGGGCCTCAGACTGGAGTAAACCTTCCATTTGAATTATCATGCAAATGTCATGTATTTGTTTCCTACAAATATTAATTATCCTTTCTGCTCTTTTTTCCAGGGAATGTATATCAAATCAACATATGATGGACTCCATGTCATCACAGGAACAACTGAAAATGTAAGATTCCTTATTGTAAAATCCTTTTATCGTGCATACAATTATTTTCTGGGTAGGTGCAGTACATTTTGTATTATGAAAACTTGCTTTAAATCAAGCCAGATTTATTAATATTTTTTTCTTTTTTTATATGTACATATATTATCTCTGTAAAAACTGTAACCCTTGAAAACAGACAGAGAAAAGTGTCTATGTTGAAATTACCTATAAATAACAATATAATAAAATCAAATTCTTGAACTTCTCAATAGTTCTTCAAATCCACCTTTCTAATTGTATTCCTGCACATCTCCTCCCTGGCACAAACGGTTTATGTTACGGGAAATAAATTGTATTTTACGTTTGCCACCGTTTGTAGCAAAAATGCAGATGAGATCAAGAAAAATGTATTAATTATGGTTTTTCTTGTGAGACAAATCCGAAGCAAAAGCAGCCATAGATCAGCGTGACTGATCACAGCAAAACCCAGCAGTGTGACGGGAGGAACGACCCAGCTTCTAAATAACCCTCCCTGTTACTCAACGTGCAATTCATAATGAGAAACGTGAACGAAATAAATTGGCTTCAACTGCTGCAATCTAATTACTGTGACAGGCTTCATAATAAGGGCCTTCTGGTTTCCATCTCAGCTTTCAGTCACACTGTTCCCGTTCGGGCTCAGAGCTGTTTGACGTGGGAGAGCCGGGGGGAGCGACAGGTTTGGGGTTTATAAAAGCTGATATGGAAATTCTGCCCCACTGACAGCCAGGGAACGGGAAATGGGCTCCGTGCAGGTGGGCAAAGATGGAAATCCTGGCTGGCCCACGTGGGTGAGCTTGCTGTGTCGTGTTTGGTTCTGCCTGATTTCTCTATCCTGAACAGTGTTGCATCACGTGGGCTCTGTCAGTGCAAAGCCGTGGGAAGCCTCGTGATTGGTGGGTCACAATTTGGGAAGACAATTCTAATGCAAATTAAACTTAAAATTTGTTTGCTTGTTTATAATGTCACCACTGGCAACATTTAGAAGTCTTAAAATAACTCCATGTGTATCATGGGTCCTGGAAATTATGAATGATCCATCTTGATTATGTTGGACAGATTATGTTCATAGAATGAATTACTCATGCTGTAATTAATCCAGTTTTTTACTGTAATTCTAATTAATTTCAGAAATATAATGCAGTTGGTAGGGAAAATATTTATATATTTATAATTCAAATTCACGGGAGGAGTTACTAAATTGCCAGACTCTAAAATTTTTATTTTGACTACTGTAACTTTTTGATAGGGCACCACTAGAAGAAGTTGCTTTTTTTATTTTGCTGGAAGTGTAATCACATGTGCAGATAAACCAGCCTCAAAGACCTGTAATTTCTGGTGTTTCAGCAAATTGATTTGTCATTCCTTTTGAAGGGATAATTGACCTCAGAGCCAGTGTTTAATTAGCTCAGCCTCAGCCAAGTCAGGAAAAGAGCTAAAAAGAGAAAGAGCCAGGCCTTTGCTTTTCTACCTCGTGTCAGCTGAAGTTCAACATCAGAAACTGCAGTTTCTCGCTCATCCTTCTCCCCATTTAAAGCAATCGAGTTTGTATTGATGTTGAAATCTAGAAATATTTCTGTTACATGTTTAGTCCCGTGCAAAAGAGCAGTCAGCCAAAATTCTGCCAGTTCCCACTGAAAGGAGAAAGTGACTCTGAGCCAGGTGGTTCTTCACATCATCCTGGAAAACGTGCAGGTAAAATCCTGTTTGCTTTAGTGCAGGAGGTGACTGTAATGACCAGGGCTTAGCTCCAAACTGGAATCACCCAAGCCCTTCTGAAAGGCCAAGCAGGTGAGGAGTTGGGATGCAGCTTGTGTTGGGCACAGGAAGGTTGGGAATGGCAACCAAGCAGGGGGCCAAAGGAAAAAGCTGTGCTTGGAATAGCACCTGGGACACCCTTGGAATCACTGAGTCAACCACTGGCTCTTTGCCCTGTTGGCTGGGGTTTCACTGAGTGAATTATGCCTGAGGTTTCCTGCTCTCCACAGCTGTGCTCTCTGCAGTGTCTCTTCACCAGGCAGCAGGTGCCACTAGCCCAGAGCTGTTTGACCCCCTCAGAGAGGAGTCTCTTTGCATTTGATTCAGAAAACATTGCAGTCATTTTCTTCCCGGTGGTAATTTGGGGTTTTTGTTGTATTGTCTCTTCTTGTCTTTGTTCCTTTTATTTGTCTATCTTATGTTTTTAATCTGCATCCGCAAAAGGCATGGGTGGGATTTGGGGTTGAAGGCAGTGCAGCTGAAGAGCTCTTGCCTGTTTCCTGGAAGTCGGGGCTGGTACACACTGAGCTCATGACTGTGAGCATCTACACATCACATTTAGTTCAGATAAATCTTTTCTTCCTTAGCATTGACACCTGGCTCTTGTGCTTATTGTGTTTAACAATTTATGTCATAGGCTGGCTCCAAAAGACATCCAGGCACTCAACTAAATTTTGGTACCATAACTCTCTTTTTCTCTGAGGAGCAACTTCAACAGCATTAGAACCAGGCCCTTCTCTGTAGCTGCAAGTGGCTCTTTTTCTGCTTTTCTTCTTTACTTGGACAGAGAATTTCAACTGTTATTCAAAGAGCATTTTGCTTTAAATGTTTCTGCACTCTTTGAGAAGGGACAATGTGTCCTCTCCTCTCTCTGACCCCATACCCTAAAACTTCAACCTTGTCTAAGTCTACTGGTCTACTTCCTTAGTAGCTAATTTCCACTGGGATTTCTCTCTCAAGGTGATGTCTCAGCTCTTTAATTATTTCCTGGTTATTTTCTCTTGACTGCCAAGTTGTGTACTGTCAGTAGAACACTCCTGTGAGCTCATGCACAATGCCAGCAAATTGCTTTGAATTCTCAGGTCTCTGCTCCTGAGTGTCACTGCTGATCCCCTGCACGCCCTGACTGCTCATCCCCTGAATGCCCTACGGATTTGTCCTACAGGTTTAAGAGTTGGTTTCATTAAAGCATCTAAAAATTATTTGTTAAATAGCAGTTGGCCATGTTCCAGTGCTCTTCAATGGCTTTTAATCCACTATAATGTGACCAGAAGCAGCTATATTTAGAATAAGGGAGTTTTGTCAGCTCAGTGATCCCAAAATTATGTGAATAGTGCATAAGGAATTGTGTGTGTGTGTGTGTGTGTGTGTACATCAAATCTCTTGAAGAGCAAGTCTCTTGCTGACATTATCCATTTGTGTCCAAGTGGTTAATGTGGTGTCCTGCTGGTGCTGGAGCCCTGTGTGCAGGTACAAATCCTCTGTGCTTGCAGAGTGCCCTCAGTGCACCTGAGCACTCAAACTGCTCTATAAAGGACAGATCTGCTTTTCTGTTCCACCACAGCTGGTCCAGCCCTGTCGTTGTTGACTTTAAAGATTTCCTTCTATGGAATGTAAATTCACCCAGTGCATCCCCAGCAAGGTTGGGACTGCCCAGGTAAACAAGCTGCAATAGTCCCACCCATCAAAAGTGGCAGTGGAATTGTAGATTACCTCATTGAATGTGACCAGGAAAAATATTATTCCTCTTAAATACAGTTTTCATAAATATGACAAATTATTTCATAGCAGGAAGACTTTCAGAAAAGCTTTCTTGTCTCCTTCAGCATTCATTGTTTTAATTCTTGCTCTTTTACTTCTCCCTCCATACTTTCCACGTAAAGTTAATTATTCTCTCTTGTCCTTAGTCTCCTGCTGACCAGTGTAAGAAAATCCACGCTGGTGATGAGGTGATCCAGGTCAATCATCAAACTGTGGTAAGTATTTTGGAAATTCTGTCCTGCAGGCTTTGCCTATTCCCACTGCTAAAAAGGTAATAATTCTTCTTGGAAAGTAACTCTGCCCAACTATATTATTATTTATGTCTTTTAAAGCTTCATATCCACTGCTTGTGCTTAAAGGCACAAGCTGAGTCTGTTACCAGCCCAGAAGGATTAAGCCAAATTTCCATTTTGCACAGCTGCTGTTCAACATCTTACTCTTTATATAAGGAGATCCCAGAATATTTCCTTGAAGTTCTTAGACTTCTCATTATGCATATTCCAGCTGGTTTAACTTTTCCTCTTAATCAGAATTTAGCATTCTGTTTAACTCAGGAGTCAGATAAATAATGCAGAAGTGCTGTAACCGCCGTGTATTCGAATCTGTTGGGAGGAAAATGTAAAAATTATTAGTGTTGATAGAAGTCTGTCAGTTTTAGGCCTGTGAATTCTTGCAAGGGGATTTATTTTTAAGATGCCCATAAGCACATGTATGCAGGAGTGTACGCTGAGCTTCAGGTATTGCAATATATTATTTTAATATGTTTAAACGTGTCCACTGTTGCATTCCTTTCACAACTGTGAGCTGTGTCGTGTACTGCAGGTAGAGGAAAATATATTTATTAATTTATTAGTAATTTATTATTTCTATAGATCAAATGATTTGTATTTGAGCTCTAAAGGCCTCTCAGAATACCTGTCTAAGAGTTTCATCCAAGGCTGAACGATTATATTTTTCTTCCTGTGTTGTGATGCCACAAAGCTACTCCTTATAACTGATGTTGGTTCCAAAGCTGATGACTATTGGAAAAAAAACGCAGTCAAATTTTGTCCTGTACTGTCTGAAGTCACAGAGACTGTGCCTTTTAAAACAAATAACTCTGTGTTGCAGGAGAATGGCAGCAGTGCTGATGGAACCGCAGGTGAAAGGAACATTAGCATTTATTGTTTCTTAGGCACGAGCAGCGTTGTGACAATGACCATGAGAAATTCCTAAGAAACTTCTAATTGAGCTATTTGGCTTTGTCCTGCTGAACCCCATCTCCAGGCAGGGCAGCTGCAAAATTAAGAAATCTCTTTCAGTCTGTCACTTGTGTGAAGTGGAAATATGAAAGTCTGCCTATTAAAATCTTATGATTAGAGAGCAAATATTTTCTCTTGAAAAGAAGTATAACTTATTCATTTATACTTTAAATGTTAATGCAACACACAGCTCTTATCTGTACGAAAGAGGTTCTAGGAGTTGTCATAGTTACAAGTTGAAATATGTATTAGACTGGTTTTCTCCATCAAACACACCCTTCAAGAGACAGATCTGATTTAATCTTTACTCCCAGAGGGGAAATCCCCACATTCAGCTACTCAGGAACTGGCATTTTGGACAGTGACTCTTTCTGTGGTGTTATTGCAACAGGCTCAAGGTGGTGGATACTTGTAATCCCTTTCCAGATAAGGGACACAGGACCAACAGCTGAGTCAAGTGGCATAAAATACTCTTTTTTTCTAAAAGGCCCCATCATATATTAATTATTCATTCTGAAGTTTATAACAGGCTAAGGAAGAGACAAATGACCCTGGGTTTCTTTTGGAAACTGGAAAAGCCTCATTCTGTCTGCACTGGGACTTTGGAAAGACAGACAGTAATACTGAGTGTTTGCATGTGCCAGAGGTGTCTGTCCAATCCTCTTTCCCTCATGGGTTAGAATTGTTATTATTTTAAATATCCCTTAGATCTCCATGTGTGTCCTTTAAGTCACTGCTGGGACACCTTGGTGCAAACTGCACTTCGCTGTGTTCCTCCTTCACCCAGGCTATCCCATTTTGATGATCAATAGTACGCTTATAATTAGCATTATTTCCATTAGTGGACTGGGATAATTCAAAGGCAGCAGGTCATTAAATTCCCACATAATCAATATTTTAATATTAGCAAGACCAGCTCATAAAAGGAGGTGAAAGCCAATTGTAATTAATGACTGGGGGCTCAGCTGAGTAACAGACCTTGCATATCTCTGGAGTTCTTACAGATCTTCCACAGAAGATTTTTATCTTTGTTATCCTAACAAAGACAGTTTTATAATACTGATGTTTCTTTGGCCTTTTGGAAGTCTATCAGATATAAATCTCATTCAACACAACGTGTATTGAAAGAACCTGTTCTGAAGATGATTATATAGAGTAGTTTTTTCATTGCCGCTGGTGAAAATACTTCCCTGACTGGAGAAAGTATGGATCTCTTTTAATAGGTTCCAATCTTATAGCTGATTATTGGCATCATTTAATCTGATTTTGACTGAACTAGGCCAATGTATTTTCTAGATAAATTCATATTCACTCATTTAATATGATCATTCGAGTTCTAAAACTTTCATTGATGTTCCCACAACCTGTAATAAATTGTTCCGGTAGTTAATTATTCTCATGGCTGGGGGAAAGAAGTCGTTTTATTTGTAGTCTATATTTGTCTGGCACAAGCTTCCAGTCCTTTGATCTTGATATATTTTTATCTGTTAAATTGCAGGAGAGCAGGTTTCTCTTTTAGGTATTTTCAGGATGCAATCAAATTAGCTCATCACTTTTTTTTAAGTAAGCTGGATTATTTGAGCACTTCCAGTTTGTCATCCTAACGCATGACCCTCCTCAACCACCTCTTTAAATTGCCAGCTGTAAATCCCTGCCTTTTTAACACAGAGTTAAGCAGCTGCCCAGTGGAAAGGCTCGTTCCTGGGTAGGGCAGAGACTCCACGGCCTGGAGTTGTGTCAGGGCAGGCTCAGGGTGGATCTCAGGGAAAGGTTCTTCCCCCAGAGGGTGGTTGGCACTGAACAGGCTCCCCAGGGCAGTGGGCACAGCCCCAAGGCTGCCAGAGCTGCAGGAGGGTTTGGACAGCGCTATAAGGGTGGGATTGTTGGGGTGTCTGTGCAGGGCCAGGGGTTGGACTGGATCCCTTCCAGCTCAGGATATTCCACTCCACATTTAGGCAGCCATTCCCAACTAGCTGTTCACTCTTTAAAAAGCTGTTCCTGTTTCATTCCTACATAGGCAGAAATGAATCTAAGAGGACAGTGCTATTTCCTTTGCCTTTAAAAACACCCTCCCATTTCAACTGGAGTTTGGCTCCTTCCATCAGGAAGTGCATTTGAAGAGAAGTGTCATTTGTTTGGAAGCTGAGAGCAATCAGCTTTCCGAGAGGTTCAAGAAGATGTAGACTTGGAAATCTTGGAGTGTCCCCTCGTTGGAGTGGAGTCAGCACAGATGAGAACATTTCTGAGCCTGGAGATGCATCTCTGGGGCTGTATCAGGAATGCTGACAGTGCCAGTCCCACTGAACTGCTGCATGTGTGGAGTCAAACATTTGGGGATTGATGTGACCAGAATACTCTGGCACTATGTTTTCAAATTCATTCTTATTACCTCCAAATAATATATAAAACAGTATCTTTATTAAGAAATATCAGATAGTTAGGAGGTAGTTATATTTATATTCTTTTTTACTATTATATTAACAAATAAAATATTAACAAAAAACAAGACTTTTATAAGTTTTACTTTACTTTTCAAATAGTTCTTCAATGGAGTTGAGAGTTAAAAAGAGTTCAGAAAGTATCAAAGGAAAACTGCTTCCAAATTATATAATGCAACAATTGAAAGAGTTAAAAAGAAAATACTTACTATGTGGAATCTGGTCTAACCAAGGAACACTCTGTAATATAATTATAAAGATCAAAGAAAAAATAATAGTACTTAAAGCAAGAAATTAATTAAATCAAGCGATTCACCACTGGCTGTTAAGATCATTTAATCATTATCCAATTTCCTTATTTGCTTTTCTGCTTGTTCTTCTTGCTTTTAAGATTTTAATAAAACAGCATAAGAAACTTTAAAAATAAGTTATACATTCTAAATTGCTGCCACCCTGACTCTTTATTTTTTCCCTGCAATAACAACAGGCACTATTTCTGCCTGTGCTCTGTGGATTTTTATTTCCTCTCTCATAAAAATCACACAGAAGTGCTGAAGATGCCACTGCAGCATTTCTGTGCTTGCAGAATTCACAATTACACCTCAGGTCCCTCGGATGGGATAAATTCTACTGCTTGGTTGAAACAGTAAAATTTGATTATTTTTCAGCATAAATTTATGAATATTTAGTTGTGTTGATGTTCCACTTTTGATAATTTGTCAGGCAACAGAAACATTGGAGATCCAAACAAGGACTGCTTTAGCTGCCTGACCATCTGTAGAATGGTTTCCTCTTTAGAAAGATCTTCTATACTTCTGTGTAGAAAAGTGCTTTGTAAAAACTGACCTTTCTTTGTCTTTTTTTTTTTTCTTCTTTTCTTTCTTTCTTTTTTTTTCTTTTTTTAATGTTGGGATTTGAAGGTTATTTCATAGGACAGAGAGCAGTAATAATGCTCTTAGTAATTCCTGTTGAAAGTTAGATGTTACTCAGGAGCAACTGGCAAGACTCCAGGAGCCAGAATGTAGTAATTAATCCCAAACCAACTGAGCACCAGAGAGCTGATGGGACTGAAAATGGCAAAGATGAACTTGGAATTAATCAGGAACAGGTTTCCTGGAGAAACTGAGCTTTGATACCATTGTCTTGACATTAGTAATATCTGGTCTGAAATACTGTGTGATCTGCAGGTCATTTACGGTCCTCGGAGGTGTTAAGTTAGATGTGAGCATTAAAGAAATGTAATGGGTAAAAGAGAAAATGTGTCATCTGTCTCATAGGAGGTGAAATTATTTAAGGATTTCAGTTTGGATAACCCAGCCAGTGAGGTCTGAGACAGAATTTCTTTTTCTTAACAGACTGTAAAGGCCAGAAAGAGAAATAACTCTTTAAGGTATAAAACACTGTGCAAGAGCAAACAGCCATGGAAATACCTGTAGTAAATAGGTTGTGTTACATGTTTATGTTCTCTTTAAATAGCTAAAGAGAATAATTTAACTGAAATTGTTGTATTTTCACACAGGACAGGGTTGTTCTCTGAACTGATGGATGTTGAGCTTTCAGTGCTGGAAGGGGGCTTGGGAGAAAGATGGGCACAGATCTTTTATTAGGGCCTGTTGCAGTGGGACAAAGGGCAATGGCTTTATACTGAAAAAGGGGAGATTTACATCAAATGTAAGTAAGGAATTCTCCCCTGGAGGGTGGGCAGGCCCTGGCACAGGTTGCCCAGAGAAGCTGTGGCTGCCCCATCCCTGGAAGTGTCCAAGGTCAGGTTGGACGGGGCTTGGAGCAACCAGGGCTGGTGGGAGGTGTCCCTGCCCATGGCAGGGGATGGGACTGGATGACCTTTAAATGTCCCCTCCAACCCAGAATATTCTGTGATTCTAAATACAGGATCCAGCAGCCCCTTTAAACATTCATTGTCAAATTACATCCTTGAAATTAAGTGTGTCAAGAGCCTGTCACAATGAAATAATTTCAGCACTAATTTATTGGAGTTAAGATAGTTATTGAATTAATACCCTCGGTGTATGATTGTTGAATTGTAAATCTGAGTTCTAATGAGAGCTCATTTTAGGTGGAGGTAAATCTGTAAATGCAGTGCCAGGTCACACCATCTGTGTTTCAGCACAGTGGGTGTTGGGAAGTACAAACAGAAAAAAAAGGACAAAAGATGTCATGAGAATTACAGCTTCTTTCCCCAAAAGATGTCCTTCTGTTTCCAAACAAAGTGCCACATGTTATATTATTCTCCAGATTCCGCCTTTCAAAAAGGCTTAGTAAAGCAAGTCTTCCAGTAGTACATCTTGCTGCTTCTTGGATTCTTGCTGTGTTGCTCCATTAGTTAATGAAAATAACTATGTAAGATAATGGGAGAACATTTGGTTTTCCATCATCAATTATTGTTGGGAACAGACAGAATATTAATAAGGGTGAATCAGCTACAGGTGGTAATGACGAGCTTCCCCTTCAGTGACAGAAAAGTCTTATGATCTTCCAGCACATTTTTGTCTAATAATAATTTCTGATTTCCATGTTAATCAAACCAGTTCCCTTGATTAATTCCCTAAAGATACAAAGTGAATTACAGACTTAAAATAAGAAAGCATGATAGTTTGCTTCCTTAACAAAAAAGTTGAGTTTACACAAGTTGTTGTCTTGGGGGTTTTTTAATGCAAATAAGAAAAGAGGTCAAATTTTGGAGATTTGGGTAAATATCCAGATGGCTTTGCTTCTGTATTTGAAGAGTCTGGAGGGGAAACATCTGTCCTGGTTCATGGGAGGGGTTACTGCAGTCAGAGCAGAATTCCTTGTTTTCAGGTGCTGTGCAATATCATAGGAGCTAAATATTTAGAAAATATTCTGCACAACTGATTTCCAGACCAAATGCCCAACGAGGGAGCTTTTCAATTCCTGTTGGTTGCTGCTCTGTCTGTCTCCATCCCAGATAAACATCACCATGTTCACCAGCTCAGCTGTTTTTTCCGTTCCTTTCAGTGGATAAGTCTCTCAGGCACTTCATGCCTCTGCAATCACCCACAAATGCACCAGCCTGGATTTTCTTCAGGCTTTTGTGTGTGTCTGCAACATCAGGGATTTTTGGTGTTAGTTTGTTTTTCATTCAAATCCTCAGTGAGTCTTCATTCGCCAGGTAGACTTTATTTTAAAAAATAAAGTGCCCAGCACGAACTGAGTTTGGATTTATAAAAATGCTGAAATCCCTATTGCTGATAAAATGCATCCCAAATCCCATCCATGCAAATCCAGATCTTCTGAATGAGAAGGAACAAATTCATTTTAGAGAGAATATAAAGAAGATATTGGAGAACTAGGAAACACTTGTTTGCTGTTGGTTCATGAAAGTGAGTTATGTTTTTCTGAACATATTAGTTATGCAGTCCCAGCTACAAAATTATTCAGTTTAGGTACATAAAATTATCAGATTTAGGTATAGAAAAGTATCAGGTTTAGTTCTACAAAATTACCACAGCATTTTGGAATTTCCTGGTAAAGAAATTTACTATTGGAGGGATTAATATTTTTGGAACTATGATTTTTGAAGTTGATATATTCCTAATTTTCCACTTTATTTCTATGAGAAAACTAACAAATTCTTCAATATAGATAGAAATGCACAGAGGCTTTTTTTCCCTAGAGCCCTTCTTTCCACACTGAGGATATACAAATAAATTAAAATTAATGATTAGAGCAATCCTAAGAGTAAACCAGCAAAATTTTACACTTCTGCCTGTCTGACCATTTTCAGTGACTTCTTTTGCATTCTTCTGGGTTTATTCCACATTTAGCACCTAAATTAGCATCCAATTTTGTTTAGGCAGGAAGATAAATAAGAAAGTATCGTGTTAGTCGTTTTTTTTCGTTTTTAATTTAACTTTCATTGCTGAAATATCTTAACCCATGTTATAGCATCCGATTGACTGAATGTTTGTGCCAAAAATCTTAAAGGAGCAAAATACCCTTTTGGTGAATGCATCTCACCAGAGCTGGAAGTTGGTAATTGCTTTAAGGACTTACTCTTTGAGAGCAAATGTCAAAATCCGTCTCCAGGACTGGTTTTCAACTAAGATTTTTTAATCCACTGTAATGGCTTCTTTTTTTCCAAAGATATTTTTAGTAATACAATTTATAATAACGTGTCCAAATTCCTAAGAGCATTTTATCATCACCCAGTAGTAATGACTGCAGCCTGTTCTCTAATAGATCTTGGGATTTAATGGTTTTGTCATTAAGGTTCTCATTGGAATAATTTATCGTTAACTTAATTATTTATCACTCTTTTCTAAAAGGAGCTCATGGAACTCTACAGATTTCAGCAATCCGAAAATTACAGCAATCTATAAAAATCAAAAAGGAGTTCCTTTTTATTCCTGGAATTGAGTAAAAGGAAAAAAAAAAATAGAGAGAGCCTCTGTCCTTTTACAAACACGACAGAGACTGGAGGAGTGTTTGGGACCTGAGCTGACACCCTTGATTTGTTTGGCTGTTACCTGTTACACCTTTCTGTGTAATCAGATATTATCTCCTATTAAGAGGAAGTAATTATAAATTATACCTATATAATTATAACTATACCTATATATAGCTATATATATTTATATGACATGGGGATTTATGTAGACTGCTCTGTTTCTGACCTCCTAAATATTTTATTTTCTTGGTTTTTAATAGCAGTGGTAATCCATATTTTAGTCTGGAGGGTAATTATATGGTTGACTAGTTAATTTTAGGAGAAAAAAAAAGGAAAAAAATTTTATACTGAACTCTGAGAGGTCAAACATAATCAAAAAGCACAGCAGATACAATAGCACAGACTAACATATATTTGTACCGTTCCTGCTGTTGGATTTCCTGAGATCTTTGTTCTGCAATTTTCACTTCAAGGCTGCTGCAATTGGCCTCAGGAAGGTTGTGTCTGGAAAACTGCTGTGTGGACCCAGCATTCCCATTCCTGCTCAACACCAGGGCTTAAGACTTGTGATGGTCATAACATTTATGGCAGGTTCTTTACTGTGGCCATTTATTACCACTGTAAAAATCTGCCATGTCCAGGACAGAAAAGGGAGGGGAAAAAAGAAAAGCCTTGAAAATATATTTTCTGTTTTCCTGTGTAAATAATTCAGGGTAACTTAATATTTAAGTAATCAAGAAGATTAAGAAATGGCTCTAAGTAGTCGGGTTTTTTCCCTTTCAGTACCAGTGATGTCCTTTTTTATGGCTCTGTTTGCAATTTGTAGTAAGTTGGTGACTCAGCTGTGCCCAGGGGCTGTACAGATAAATCAATAAATGACTATTTATCTCCATTTAGGGTCTTACAACTGTTACATATATGTTACATATGTTGTTATAACATGACTTCTAATCCTCATCTTTTGATTTAAAATGCTCAGTGACCTCCCAAATGATCAAAAGGGAAACAGTGTTCACTTCTGCCTTATTTTGTTGAGAAACAGAACTGAAAAAAATAATAAAAATTCAGCTTCAGCAGCATCATTTCAGTCCAACAGAAGGAATCAGAGTTTATAAAAACTGCTGGTGTTTGCACAGAGAGGCTGTAAGAGGCCTTTCTGGTTACCAGAATGTTTTCTTCACATTTCAAGTCCAACAGAAAGCTTTCACAATTCAATTATGGAATTTTTCCTTAGGTTGGCTGGCAGTTAAAGAACCTGGTAAATGCATTGTGGGAAGACCCAAATGGAGTGATTCTAACCCTGAAAAAACGTCCTCAGAACACCCTGGTCTCTGCTCCTGCCCTTCTGAAGAACGTCAGGTGGAAGCCTCTTGCACTGCAGGTAAGGCAACTGTTGGAACACTGGTGTCCTGGGAAATCCTTTGCTCCTGAGAAAACACTGGAATTTTTCCTTCCAGCAAAAGGAACAAGAGCCTGTCCCAAATTCCTTTGAAACAGGGTGCTGAGATAAGTTGGTGTGGCAATAAGGTGGTTTTCTCCATGTTTGGGTGGCACTGGGAGCCGCAGGAATTCGTAGAGGGAAAGAATATTTACAGGTGATGTTGTGAGGAACAAGGTTCAGCAGCTGCTTTGGCAGAGGCAGCAGTGCCTCCCTGTTTCCAGTATTTCAGTCTGTCAAAACTGCTTGTTTATGGTCCAGTGTGTCAGATCTATTAAATTTCAGGAGAATTCCTCTTCTGTTCCACACCTCTCATCAAGCTGAGCTTTTGGTAGCAGTGCTAATGGAACCTCTGGTATTTTCTGTGCCCTCCTTGAAAACATGTTGGTACCAAAAAAAATTAACTGGGAACACCATAGCTGGTTTTTAATACAACATCAACAATACGTAGGAGAACCTGAGTGAAACCCTGAACTAAAAATGTCACTGTTCAAGGAAAGGTTTGTCAGTAAATCAGCAGCTGTTCATGCTTGTCACTAATGCCATATAGCACATCCACAATGTGGAGGCTTCTCAGAGCTGTTTTGTTTGGATCAAACAATACATGACTGTGTTTCTGAATGATTTTTCAATTAATGAAAAAAAACCAACCCCCTCAAGCCTATCCAGGCAAATTTCCTCCCTGCCTGGCACTTCCTAAATCTTTCCTTCCTCCAAGTGCCCAAATCCTACGTGGTGGCTTCGCTTAAAGAGTTTGTGTAAATCCTTGCAGGAATTCTCAGGGATTTAGGGCCACCTCTCCTCTCTCTGTGCCTGCCTCTGGGGGAGAGGAAGGGGCCCTGTGACACCCACGGGGCTTTTTCTGTCCCAGTGCTGCAGGAATAGCATCCTTTGCTCTGCCGAGATCATGATGGATCTACCTGCAAACCTCATATGGAGCCTCGAGGGGCAGCCAAGTGGGAATTGCATTTGCACAGGGCTTCCATAGAGACCCTCCCATTATATTCACATATTAAAGAATCAGAATTCCCAAGCAGAACTAGTTCTGGAAGCTTTCTCAGTGTGAGAACAGTCTGTACTGTAAAGATGGCACGGTATTGTTCACAAAGCATGCCAACCTTTGGAGTGGTAGCCAGAAAAGTGGAAGTGCACCAAGCTGTTTGTGTGGAATTATCAGCAGTTCTGGTTTTGTGATGTGTCCTCTCCTGATCACCCCGATTGCAAAAGCCCTGAGGATCAAAGGGTGCTTTCAGTGTCCTCCCTTACGGGGATGTATTTCTTCTGTACCAGACAGCAGAGGGATTTAAATTAAAATATAAATCACTTTGAAAAATGAAAAGAGCATTGTTAGTGCTACTTCTTAACAGTAGATTTTGTAATAAGATGTTGAAAGCCAACTTTAGGTCTTTTTTAGCATCTTTAGGTCTTTTATTCTTCCTGCCACAGAGCCAAGCTCAAGTGTTCGGACCTGGATCCGTTTCAGGGCGCAGGTTTTGGGTTTGCCTGTTCCCTGCAGCTCTCACCTGGATCTGGTATTGTTTATTATTGTCAGTAATGACTTGGAACTAGCAGGATCGAATTTCAAGATGGTTCTAAAGCCTGTGCTTCCTGGACAGCTGACACAACAGCTTGTTGCTGCTGGAAGCAGTGATCTCACTTCCCTCTCCTGTTGGCTCAGAGTGCCCCTCGCCTTTGCTCGACTTTGGCATTTTTTTAAACCCTCTAGATCAGTTTAATCTGTTCATTTTGGAGGAAGGTTTCTGGTTTTATTTATTTGGGTTTTTTTATGGAGTTTTTTACCACTAATGGATTAAATTGGCTCTCAGGGAACAGGCGCTGTCGGGGGTTGTTGACAGACTTTGGGGAAGGAGCAGAATTCACTCAGCACAGACAGGAGGTTTATCCTGAGACAAAAGTAGCAGGTGCAATGGCCAGCAAAGCAAATCTGCAGAAGAATATCACACTGAAAGTAGACCAAAACTGCAAACAATTCAGCAAATGTCAGACTGGCCCAGGGCAGGATAATGTTATATTTCATGGTGTGTCACATAACGTGGACCCACAGATATTGCTCTGCATTGTTATTTCGTGGTGGACTCCATTTATCTACATATCCACATGCAGAGCAATTTTTCCATTCTGATGTAGTGCTGGCAAAAAACAAAACAAAACAAAAGCAGTCCATAACCAGGGAAGGCAGAAAGGAAACAGGATTTAGGAACTTGAAATTCAGAGGCCAGGAGTAATATTTGCTACCTTAGGCTGGTGCACAGCAGGAATTTTTAAATTAGAGTTGTCATGTTTTCTATTGTTGCTTAAGGCATTTGGAGACGTTATTAATATTTTCCCCACAATAATTATGTTTAAAATTATACCACATTGTTAATTTATGAATTATTGATGACACGGAATCTGTGAATCCTTGTAAAATGTATTTCTTGGGCTCACTGTAGAGTTCCTTTGCTGTGTAGTTTCCCTTGATGCTTAATTACCAAGAGCAGAGCGGTAACATTTGCCAGAGTTTTGTGCTGCATTATCTGTCAGTGACACACATCAGTGACACCACTTTCTCCTTTTGTCTCTAGTTGGTATTATGTGACAAAAGGAGACTTTTTGAATTTTTAACCTCTGTGATTATCTTCCCACTTCAGTAAAAACGGTTCTTTCATCTGCGGCGACAAATTGTTCTCTGGTTTTTTGGGTGAGCACCAGCAACTGCCTTCCAATAAAATACAACATTTCTTGGATTTTTTTTTTCTTTTTATTTGCACAAAGTTTCCAATTGGAATAATCCTTCCTGTCTCAACTACTTGATCCAGAACATTGCACTGTTTATGATTTAGCCTGAGACACAGAATCTGGCAGGTGATATGAGTAGAAAAGCTTCTGTCAGTGGTGACAGTTTCATAATTCTTCTTACGTGTTAGAAAATACCTGTTATGCTCTGCAACTTTCTAAGCAGCTTCAGAATAAGTTTTGTTAAGTAGCTCATTTCAGATTTTGGAAATCATGTGATAAGGTTAGATTTCTAAAAACCTATTGGTTATCTCACTGTTGGGGGGCAGATTAAACAGTTTTATTATTACACAAAAGTAATTTCAGTATTTATTTCTAGAAGATTGAAAGCCTCGTAGTTAAAAGCATTAGAACTGGTCTTTGCAGCTTTCAACCAAATTTTAGGTCACTTTGTTTTCCTTCCACCCATAGAAAAGTGGTTGTATCAAAGAACAATTTTTGTAAATAAATAGATTTTCTCTTTCTTGAACATCAACACAGGTTGTACCTTGGTTGGAAAATATTCTTTGTTTCTTCCTTTCTATCCTGCACAGAATATTTGGTTATAGTCCTTCTAGTGCTTGTCAACCACTGACTTGAGCTTCCCCAGGACATTTGAGTCAAAAAATGGTGTTTAATGTCATGTAAAAGTTTAAGAAATAAAAATGTGAAAGGACCCTCCCACTTTATTATTACTTCTAGTATTTATGATGCTCACTTTTGTTGCTGAGGTTAATTTGTGTTTCTTTCCTAGTTTCCACAGAACCTGTATTTGTATCGCTGTGGTACAATGGTCAAAGCTGTGGAAACCAAATTAATAGGAATTCTGTTTCCTTTAAAAAACCAAGGTGTTCTGCCCTTGTTAACAATAAATCTTCCACTGAAACCAACATTATCATTTCATTCAGTTCAAGTTTTCCAGAGTTCTTTAATTAACTTTTGTATTAATGGCATCTAACAGAGTATGTCCTTCCTCCCTATATAATTGATTTTCTGCTTTGGTTAAAAATCATATTCTGATTGAGTCTCAGACCTTCCCATGAGATGGCTTTTAAATTAATTTAATGGTCTTTTATCAGTTTCTTTCATAACTAGTCTCGAGCTCTCTGGTACCCCAGTGTTTCACTAAACATCTTTTTTAGAGGAAACTTCAGGAATTCAAGAAACATCTAATCCAAAAAAAGAGGTCAAGATCCCTAAAACTCTGCAGACTGACTCTGTTGTTACTTGTAGCACAGAAATCATTCATTTATCAATTTATCCTTGATTTTTTTTCCAGCCTGTGATTCCAACCAGCCCAACAAGCAGCTCCACAACACCCACGAGCACGATGGGCATGTCCTCAAAGATGGACAACTCGGCGCTCCAGGATGTTTTCATTCTGTCTCCTATGTCAGGACTTTATGGCCCCAGGTATCCATGACCTGATTCATTTCAGGGTTTGAAAAATAAAATTTTATATTTTGATTTCGTTAGAATAATAAAAGCAAAACAAACCAAATATCCCCACAATCTATTTAGTAAAATTAAAGGTCCAGAGATACATTAAACAGCATATCATTGTTTTGAGTGACTTAATTTTCACTTAGCTGAGCAGAACCTGGTTTTAGTCCTAACTGAAGTATTTGTAGAAGTCTTTAATCAGTTTTATTTACTTTCACATGTTCACCTGTATTTCATTTTCAAGCATTTCTGCGAAGGAAACTCTTGCCTGCTTACCTCTAACAATTGCTTATGTTCCCTTTCAGATAATAGATAATTCCTGAATATCTATCATTATTTAATTCATGCACGTTTGTTGAATATTGTCACTTCTACAAAAGTTCTCACACGGAGCATTTCAGTTAAGGGATGTTTGGTTTGTAGTGCTTGGGAGAGGCAGTTGTACGTGAGCACTTCATCATAAAATGGGTCATTTCTCCATCATCTTCTGGTTTGCTGTTTTTAGGGATGAAGTTGGAATAATGTCTTGTGACGACATCAGCAAATTTGGGAAGTCTGGGATGAAAGGCTCTGAATCTCCAAACTATTTCCTGGAGCACGAAAGTGGGAAATACTACACGTTGATTGAAGGTGAAGGCCCCCCTGGGGGCTCTGAGTACGAGAGGAGCAGAGCTGCAGGAGTGAGGAGAAGGGAGAAAACCCCCACCCATGGTAAGGCTGCATTTCTTCTTCACCCCTCCTTAACTGGCTAAATTTACAAACTGTGCTGTTCAAACTGCGACACCCCCAAGCACCTGTCCTTCCTTGTTAGACCTGTTGGCTCTGAATACCAGACAAAAGCTTATGTGAAGGAATAATCAGTATAATTACACTTTAACATTTATGATCAGGAGTAGGGGTTTATACATTTATTCTGCTGTACATATTTTAATGCTGACTGATAATTCAGTTCCTATTGTTTGGACAGCCAGCATCTTGATTTACTCACTGTCCCCCCCCCAGCTCTTGGAGATGTTTCTCGTTGCAGTGTTCTGGGCTGTTAAACTTCAGTGAAGGGCCTGGAAAGACTCGTGGTATGAAAATGTCTCTAAGCTTTAGGGCCCTCCAAAATTCAGTGCTGATTTAAATGCAAGAGGAATTTCCTGCAGTGCATTTATTAGTACTAGAACCATCTTTCAGAATCTTAAAATGAGGACTGCTTAAATATATAAAAAGCTATTAAAGCAATAATTAACTCTGGTTTACATTGACATTTCCAGTGTGTGTAAATCTATATTCAGTGTACAAGTATATAACTGTGTGATTGTGTATATGAATCTATATAAAAGCTACTGTTGAAAATGAATTATCAGTTTAAACGGATTTAGTTGGTGTTTGGTGAATTTGAGAAAAATACTACTGAAATACAGCAGTGTATTTATTCTCCATTCAGTGGCTTAATTTTCAAGGCAGTAAGACATTTTCATGAAGTTTGAAGGTTTCAAATAAGAGATTTCTTTTAAAAACTGCAATTATATCTGATTTTGAAAATGTCATTATTTCTGACCCTCAGAGAATGCAATCGTCATAGTATTCCCTAGGGGCAGCTGATATCTTTTTTTACATATAAATATATATATGTATATAGAAAACCTACTCTCTGACAAAGGATTTTTTTTCCTTTCATTTTCTTTTTGGGGAAAAAAAAAAAAAAGTTCCTAAATTTTTGTCTTTGAAATCTAGGAAAGGGAAAACCTCTCACAGGCTCAGAGCAGTCAAGGGAGATGTGTCTGTGAAGAACACTGGCAATACACTGGTGCTGCAACTCAATAGAGCAAATCCCAAGGGCAGTTCCTGGTTTGGAATTTTGCTGGATTTATGGTAAAAAAGGGCAGAATATCAATCATAAAATGGACTTGATCACGTATATATCCACAAAACCTTTTCAGAATTGGGAAATTTTAATAACTCTTTGTTATATACGGGATATTTTAGTGATGTCTTTGGCCATTTACTTGATGCTGTGGCACTGGAGAGTAGGATTCCCTCTTAAGACTAATAATATTGAGACTTTATCTCCCTGTTAAGTGACAGTATTTTGTAATAAAATTAGAATGAAAGATAAAGATAAATCTCAACTGTGATTAAAATTGGAGCCAGATGGAGGTATTTGGCTTGCTTTCATAAATTCTTGCTGCATGATGACTTCGAATGTTGGGCGCTCTGCCTGGTCCCAGGAACACACAAGAGTTTGCTTTTGTTTGTGATGGACAGCTCTGCTTTTCTGGAACTTTGAAAATCCGGAGGGAATTTGAATTTAAAGTATGAACCAAAGTGTAATATGGGAAAATCTCAGTAGTCTGCATGTTACCCCTTCAGTTTTCAGGAAATCATGTTTATCCAGAAGAATAATTGTCATATATACCTGCTTGTTCTTAAAATCCCCCTAACATTTTAGTACTTAAAAAGCTATATTTTGGAAGAATGGTGACTCAAAAACTGCATTAGCACACAAATAATCCAAATTTAACCCATGATCTGGAGGGTGTTTCTCTGGGATGCTGATGCTTTCTGAGCAGTTCTGGATGCTCCAGGTTTGATGCCATCAGTGCCCTGCTGATGCTCCACTAGGGAATGATTGAGCCCCATTAGGATCTTACAGCTTTAGTGCCCTAAAATCCTACTGATTAAAACCCCAGTGGCTGAACCTTCTCTGCTGTGGTTGCTGTTGCCAACCTGTGCTCCACGTTTGCTTTTTAAGCCAGTTGAAATTAATGTTCCTTGAAATGAGATCCCCCCATTACTCACCGTGGGATTCTCCAGGTCGAGTTTTACTGTTTCACTGATAGATCTGTGATGTTGTACCTCTACTAACAGTCTTTCTAGTTTTCCTAAAGAATATTAGTCCACTTGAAAAACTTCTTCTCTCTTTATTCCAAAAAAAACCCCACCCCTGTTTAATGAGTGAGCAATGAAAGAAATTACTAAATTATTAAAAATAAATTTGCAATCTGTTTACATTCAGAAGTGATTTCACCAGAGTCAGTGGCCCTTCCCTTCAGGTGGGGGTGACCAAGAGGAGAACCCACTACACACGTGACGTTCAACTGGCCCTGGATGCTGCAGCTCCAAGAACGGATTGCTCTGGAGGGTCATGTCATGCCTGGAATTTACTGGCATTACTGGCTCTACAGGATTCTATTTCTAGCTTTTAAATATTAGATCCTTTTTCTTGCCTTGTTTCCAGGAGATTTAAGGCCCGTTTCGATGCCCACTGAGTACAGCTGGATAGGGGAGTCCAAAGAACAGAACATGTACAAGAGGGGGAGCAGAGGTGAGTATTTTTATTTTCTCTGCTGTTCTCCAACATTTTTTTTCCTTTTCTAACATAGAGAGCATCACAGGAACCAAATCTGTTTTTCTGAGAATATGAAAGAGCCTGTTTAGTATCTGTGCTTTTGTGTTTCTATTTCTGAAAGTTTAAAAGTTTGTATTAGTAGGAGGAATTTAATTCTTATATAAAGAATGGCAAACATCAAAGAAAAAAAGACTTAGAAGACTCTAAAGGAGGAGATATGTTAATTGTAATCAGTTATAAATCTTCGCAGTTCTAGAAAACAATCCTTTGAAGACACATTTTGATTAGTATGAATGAAAATTTGGAACAAGAATCAGCAACTGTACTGTCAGTGTTCAGACAAGCAGTTCTAGTCATATAAACTTCTACTGATTCCATTGGGAATTATCAGCTTTGCCAGAACCATGATGATAGCAAAGTTCCTTTTTTCTTTTATTTCCCCTGATAAAAAACGATTGGGTAAATCAAAAGAATATTCATCAAATATACAAACATATTTATTGTGATGCCAATTGCTAAAGATTCTTAAATGCTATTTTTTTCGGAATCTTTTAGGCCCAGTCTGGTAGCTGAGAGTTTAACCTGACTCTTTAAATGTGACAAAAACAATGATATTCTTAAAAATCAGTACAAGATTTTAAACTGCTTTTTCAGTAATCCTCCATTCCAAGCGGAAATAACTTTCACTTAAGGCACAAGCCTTTTCTGATTTACTCCAAATCCGTTGATTTATGTTCAGTTTCTATTCCACTGTTACAGATTCCTTTCCTCAGGCTCGCTGCCTGGCCGAGTCCCATTTTGAAACTGTGCCCAAGTACAGAGCACATCTCCCTAAGACCATCATTGCAGTTTGTCAGGTTCCCTGACATGACAATCCTGGTCTCTGGAACGGTGCCAGAGATGTTCCCTGCACCACAAGGAACGTTTTCTCTGTGCACTCCCTGTCCCCTCAGATGGCAGGGGGTGGTGGCAGTACATGTGGGACCCAGCCCAGGGCAGTCCCCCCCCAATTCCCTCGACATTCACGTGGTTCTTTCCCAAGTTTAAAAGCCCCAAGTGCTGGTCCTTGGCCAACCAAAAGGCTTCTCTGTTTGTTTCCTCTTACTAATCTTTCTTTTTTTTCTGTTTTTCTTTTCCCTTCCAACAACTGACTCTGAGAATTCCCTGCTGCGGTACCTGAGTGACGACAAGATCCTGGTGATCCAAGAGGAGCCTTTGACACAGAAGGACAACAAAAGGGACACGGGGAGGAGGTCAAGGAAAAAGGGCAAACCCCCAGGCAATCCCAGCTACCCCCTGAGCCCCTCTGTGCTCACACCCACCGTGAACGTCCGGCTGGAGCCCGCACAGCAGGACATCCTCAACTTCTCCCTGGCAGAGAACAACACAGTCCCACTTTATCATGTGAGTACCTCAGCAAGCCACTGCTCCATAATCTACACGGAAAACACTCCAATTTTTAGCACTGATACAGCTATTTTCTTCTACTTTGTCTTCTAATGCTGTATTTTAGCAGCAAGGAAGTTGCTCAGTGCCAGTATCGTGACTTTCTCTTAAGAGTCAAAACAACCCAGAAAAACACAAGGCAAGGATGATTTGTTATCATCCTTTAATAAAATAGTGCTCTTAATTACTCAGTCTCACTGATTTAGTTTAATTTGACTGTATTTGCTCTGAAGGTTCATAAGGATCCTATACTCAGCCTCTGATAATAATTTATTATAGATTAGTTTATAAGCTTTTGTATTTCCACTTTGATTACTATGTCTTACAAAAACAGATGAGCTTAATGGAGTTACTGTTTATTTAAATTTATTTATTTAAATTGTGGAGATTTAAATCTCTTCCAGAGACTGTCAGTACCACAAAGTCAAAGCAAAGGATTTCAAACCCAGAGAGGAAAGCAGTGGCTCATTTACTAGGATGAATGAGAAAATTATTAGACAAGTCTGCAACAAAACCCAACAATATTTCATAACTTGGTAGATGTATCAGCTGGCTTTAGTCGATTTTTGTAAGACTGTGGATTTTCTGTTGATTCCCCTAACTTCTGATGAAAAGAAAATGGGTGTTGTGGGATAAGATGCTAATTACACCCTGGATTTCAGAACTGAAGTTATGTTTTCTTGCATGATTTCCACACCATCATGCAACTAATTGAAACAGCCTTGATAAATTAGCAGTATGACATTGTCTGATAGCATAATAATACTAAAATATACCCTCATGACATAATATGTCAACTCTCAAAGGTGTGAAGGAAGTGCAGGAAACTGGAAAACAGGTGTTATTCTGGGAGGAGACAACTTTCCACGTGGTGGTTGGTCCACCTTACACGTCAGAGCAGTTGCTGTCCCATAAACTCTGCTGTAATGGGCAGTAACTACAGAGGAGGGCACATGGAAAATGATAATTCATGGACTGACAGAGTGGGATTAATTCCTTTACCACCATAAATTTTCAACCAACATTAAAACAGACCCTTTTAGCCCTTCAGGAGATAATCAGAGGAATCAGAATATCTCCGGCACTTCGTCAACTGCCTTTTAGATGCACAAGAGGAACTGAGTCGACAAACACACGAGAGTTGCTGACACAGATTTGTTGGGTTCTTGCCAGAACAGAATCATCCACATTAATGTCTTTCCACTTGCAACAGTGAAAGAATTCTGAAAAGCGGAGCAAAAAAAAACTGGCATATGAGTCCTGAAAGAGAGCTGCCCTGAGTGAAAATGGTAAATATCTCAGAACATTTCATGGCAGCTTGGTATCCAAAAGGAAGAGAAAAGTATCAGAGGTGTCGCGTTCTTAGGTAGAAATTTAGGGTTTAAGTAGGTCAGCTCAACTCCTTAATATCTAAAGGTGCTGCCAGAATTTTCATAAGCATTTTAATATATTTGCTTATTTGGATAAGGAGATTTTATTCTGTCAAGAATCCATTCTACAACAAGGCTAAGGTTAATCAAAACAAGATACCTCTAAACATTACCCAACCAAATCACCTTAAATCAGCTTTTGCTACATTTGTATTAGAAAACTTGACAAAACTGATTTAGATTTTTTTTTTTTTGCATTTGTTCTGGATTTTTTAATGGAAGTCAGAATTGCAGAACTGTCAGAATCACATTTCCATGAATTCCTCTCCGCTTAACAGATGCCCAGTACAACTTTTATGTGTAGATCAAAATATCTTGACAGCAAACAAGGATGGCTTGATGGCAGGAAAAATTGAGCCTCACTTAGCCACGGCTTCATTTTCTAAGCACTTACATAAATATGTAACAAAAAACAAACAAACAAAAAAAGGCACTTACTTTACAGTAGTTTAAATTATCAGACATAAGAAGTTTCGCAAAATTGGTAATTGCAGAGATTCACCACTAGATTAGTGCTTTGGAAGGAATGTTGATTTGGAACCTAAAATTAAACAATTAGCCTGATTTTGTAAGTTGCTGTGAGGATGCAGAGTTCCTATATAAAATGGATATTTAGGTAATGCAATATTGGCAGTCTGCCCAGGATACAAACTGATGCATGAAGCCACGTTGCAGTAAAATATTCCTGTCAAGAAACACTGCCCCCTTTCAGGGTGTCTTTCCAGCTCTAATTGAATTGATATGCAGCTCTGTGATGCATGGCACAGAACCTCAGCAAGAGTCAATTACAATTAGCAAGGCTGTTATAAATAATTAATAATTAATAGAGTGTTTCTTAGAACATGACTCGCTGTGTTTATCAGTGCTTCACTTCTGGAGTGACAGAGCTCACCAGGTTCAGCCTAAATAGTGAGGTACCTGTAAAGATCACTAAAGTATATCAACTATAGTTTGCTTGGAATGCACTATTGGAATAAACTCTGGGCCTATAAAAACAGAGTTAAAATCTGAGCATGCTTTTGTTTTTTTATTACCAGGGCTCATTCTGAAGAAAATTCACTTGTCACGTACGACTTCTGCACGTTAGACCAGATGTACATGAGGAATTTTTCATTTTTCATTTCTGCCCATGACACAACACACAAAAAGGTCTAGAAAAAGTCTTCATGATTTTAAAAAGTTATAGAAAACCGTGCACTTTCTGCTGCTTGGTTCCACTTTGCACTGTGGGAACCAGCTCCTATCTAGAAAGAATATTGAAGTTCTTATTCCAGATCCAGGCTGGAAACCCACTTGGTGTTCAAATTTGTGGGTTTGCCTCAGATTTGCACGAGTCTCTGAAGCTCTGAAATTCAATTTGCTGGTTCCTACATTAAATTTTCCAATAGGATAATGACCTGGTTTTACTTGGCAATAAATGTTCTGGGCCTGTTATCTACAAAGTAATTGGATACTTTGCTTTGTAGTATCATATATTAAGAAACTGGAGTATAGATTTGAATCTCCTAATTTTATTTTGTGTGTGTGTGTGAATTAGAATTCACTGTGTAGAAAGACTTAATTATTAATGAATTTTAAGATCAATTATTTCGTTTCAATGTTCCCTACATAGTAAAAGAGAAACAGTGGCTGCTTTAGGGTAGTCATTGAGAGTGCTGTGCCAGCAGTCACTTCTGATTGTGAAGATAATTTGAAGCATTACAGTAGTTTAGGGTTAGTCATCGTTACACAGCACTGGCTTAACTTGCTTTTTATTTCCTTCTTGCTGCTGACAGGAAGCTGGAAATGCATTCCTTTAGCACGGGGTGATGGAAATGCTCTTTAACTGCTCCTGGAGCTGCAGAGGCAGCTTTGACAAATGACATAAAGTTTAATGGCACATGCTGAGAACTAAAACGTGTGCAAAACCAGTGCAGGGCTGGTTCTCCTGCAGTGTGGGCGTGCTGGGATGTGCCAGATGTTCCAGATGCCTTTTTTGGGAGGAGAGGCAGTCTGAGTGCTGGTGTGATAAGTATATTAATTCAGATAGTCTGGGAGAATCGTGTGTTCAGCTCCTCTGGCTGAAGGAGGAGTCTTTTATTGCCAATTTTGCAGGAAAAGCGCTTATGTTTTATTTATTCCTTCCTGCTTTTTCAGGAGGAAACAAAACTGTGCTGTCAGGGAGGAGAATTACTTTCTTCAGAGTTTTATTTCCTTTCTGGATTGCTGGATAAATTTTACCTTGGCTTTTTGTTTAAGTACCTGTAACATGGAAAACCTTCTTTCCCTGCCTTGCATTTCTGCAGGGGGATCACTCTGAGGATGATTGTCTGGATTCTGGCTGCTCAGAGAAACTAATTGAAATATTTCTGGCTTCTGTAGCTGCAGATTGATTCTGTCCAGCTGCACTGATTGTGAAATACTGTTATTTTGCATTTGCACTGTACCAGAACAGTCACAGGAAAGCTTGAGCTGACAAGTATCTCTCTCAGACTGTAAGGTGGATCCTTGAGGAGCATCATCCAGTGATATGTTTCCTCACAGTTCTATTCAGACATGGTTCTCTAAACTGCACTCCTCACTGGTCTATAAACAGTTCAAAAGGAAAAAGGGATTTTATGGGACATTTTCCAAATGTTTGGGCTCCCTTGCTGGCTTGGAATTCTTTAAATTGGTAGTTATATTAGGACACTTTACAGCAAAACAAATATGAGCTGGTTGTATCCAAACATATGCAGTGTTTCCATAAGTAATTTTGCTGTATTAGAGCATACTTAAATTATGACATTCTGCAGTCTCCAAACAAACTACTACAAACTACTAATGAAGGTCAGCCATCAAAGCAGTCATTAACCTGCTGTACCTTCAACTGTAAATTGCCATTTGTAAAATATTCTCAAGTTCTTGACTCCAGAAGCCCCAACAGAACTGAATTTTACTGTATTGTATTATTGCAGCAAACGAATTTATGGCTTGTTTTTACTATTTCACCAGGATTCTAAAAAAAAAAAAAAAAAAAAAAAAAAAAAAAAAAAAAAAAAAAAAAAAAAAAAAAAAAAAAAAAAAAAAAAAAAAAAAAAAAAAAAAAAAAAAAAAAAAAAAAAAAAAAAAAAAAAAAAAAAAAAGTGGTTTATGGGATATGTAGCCTAAAGCTAAACTTAACAGCCATTCAGATTGATACAACTCTGCATTTGTTGATAAACACTGGCTACAACTGATATTACTGCTGTGATAATTACAATATTCATCATCCAGAAGATGCACGAAATACAAATATCTCCATTATCACCCAAATATCTCCTGCTGATGATGATGATGGAAGGATCAGTGTGCAGGGAGCCGGCTGGAGCTCGTTTTAGACTCTCCTCTGAGTTTGCCCCTGCAGTCCCTGGCTCAGTCCGTGCTCCCTGTCCTCTCCCCCTCCCCTCTCAGGCTCCCTCCCTTCCCCAGCAGGAGATGGGGTTTGGGGGACTGAAGCATTGCCCGGCAGAAAAGGGAAGTGAGAAAAGAAAGGGGAGGGAATTCACTGGTTTTCCCTGGTGTGTGTAACTTCTGGAGCTTCACGACATCCCTTTAACCTCAGCCACTCCCCTCTACCTCTTCCCTCACCTTTGGCTGCCTCCTCTCTCACCTACAGAGCTGCCATAACCTTCAGAATTGCCACATCATTACCAATTCCGACCCGAGACTTTTCTTCTGCCTCCAGTTAATCTTCTCACCTGCCCTTTTGGTTTCCTCGGCGTGAATTTGAGTCCCTCTGAACTGTACCTAGGTGCAGATTACATTTGATGATTTCCTGTCTCTGTTATCTCTCCCCTCAACCAGAGGGAGGGGAATGAAAACCTCAAAGGCCGCTTTCGTTTTTAGATGAGCACAATAATTTTGAGAGTATATTCAGTGGCTGAAGCATCAGCTCACTGAGGTGGAGAGATAAGTAGAGCTGACAACAAGGCCACTTCTGAACACACATCATGTAAGGAAATGTTTAGGATACTGAATGAGTGAGTTAAGGAAGCAGAAGAGGAAACATTTTTGCTTTTTTACTTTTATTATGAATAATCCAGTATCTGAGATCAGAAGAATGGAAGAACAGTGTTTATAATGCATCTGAATAAATGACATATCTAGATGGAATGATTAGATTGCATTTGACAGTTGAGATTAGTAACACACATTATCAAACTACTCTAATCTCATTAACAAGCATTCCAGTGTCTTCCTACAGTAAAGAATGACTTTTTCCACACTATCTCTGCAACTTGGGGTTTCTGTTTTCTGTGGTTTGTGTGATTTTCTTATTTCTTAGAAGACATTCTGATTCGAGGGAACCATTTCTGTTGTTGTTGTTATAAGCTATTTATAGAAGTTCCAGGATTTCCTCTGGGAGAGGACCCTCAAATCTGCCTGGGAGACCATACAGGCTTTTTGTCCTTTCATTTCTCCTCGTGCAAGGCAGAAGCAGATCCCTGGGAATCCCTAGAGCTCCCTAAGTGTGGAGCTGACTGAAGGAGGCTGAGAGGTGCCAGTGACCTGAATTTCACAGAATTTGTGCTTTACAGCCTCTGACAGCACGACAAGACTTGTGCCTCCCGAGCCTCCCACACGTCTACGAGTCAGGAAAGTGGCCTTTTAGAAAGATGAAGTTTTAGTTTGGGAACAGGAATAAGGCAATTTGTTCTCAAGTGTCACAAACTGGTCCAAAATTATCCATGAGGTGGCTGAAATTGCAGGTAGGAGCCTTCCATGTGGAAGTCACTGTCAGTATTGGGTCTGCATGTAATTACAATTACACGAGGAAGTTAATTATATCTGCATGTAGGCATTTATAGAAATGTCAGTGTGGGGGTGTTTCCATAAAGACTGTCAGAAATCCTTTTGAAAGGTTGCTAGTAACTAGATTGTACTCCCATGGCGGGTTCTTTGGGGAGAAAAATCACTCAAATGAAAGGTCATAAATATGTGAGAAAGGTCTGTAGTAAACCTGAGTGTCCATACTTAAACACTGGTAATAATCTGTATGTTAGTAATCAGCTAGTCAGGAACAGAGCTTTTTCTCTTAATAAATTCTTTATTGATAAAAACTTTAAAAGGTCATAAATAGGTTTTCTACCTTTCAAGTACTCATATCAGCTATTTTCTGTATTTATGTAGATGCTCTTCTTCACTCTCTTCTAAATTGCAGTGAACTAATAAACAGTTAAAATTTACATAGTGCTTAACTCCTATTTTTCTTTTTCCCCATGTTATGGAATCATTTTATATTTCCCTACTACAAACCATGCTTTAGTTAATTATATTACATTATTCAGTATCTTTAAAAATCAGTGCTTGGTAATGCAGAAAATTAGGGGTGTTGAAAGACTGACCTCTAGAAAGATGTGCTTTATTAACAGGAGCACATTTCCCTCTAGCATGGCTTTTTTTCAGCCTAGTAAATGCAGGTTCACATCATCCTCATGAATGTTTGCAGCTGATGGAATATATCTGATCAAAAGGAACTCGGGAACCACGATCCAAGGTGATCACCTGTGGTGTGGGTGTTCCTTGTGCATTTATCTGGAAGGAAATAAATACCTGGGTTAGTTCAGCAGGGAAAATTTGTAACATGGGTGATGAAAAGCTAATGGGCAGCACAGCGAGAGGGGGGTTGTTTTAGCCTTGTCAGGGAAGGGAGTGTGGGATGAGTCCGTTTGGGAGAGAGGGTGAATAAACCCTGCTCTGAAACCATTTGGGAGCGGTTTGGAAAAAGAAACTGAAGCAACAGAATGGGCAACCCTGACTGAATTAGTAATCCCACTTTCAGTTGCTAAAATTAGAAACTCTAGGAGTCAGAGGGATAAGAGAAGCTTTGAGCCTTCTGGTATGAATAAAGTTCTATTTTTATAACAGTAGGATGGGGAGTGCTGCTGTCAAAGTGCTTTTGCTTGCTTGGCCACACAGTCTTTGCCTGGGCTGTCCACAGTCATTCCAGGGATGATCAGGCTGGCTCACTGGTATTTAGCAGTTGCATTGGCAGCACCAAAATAAGAGCTCTTCAAGCAGATATTTTGCTTTAGGTGTGTGCTGCTACCTCTTACAGTCTGCACTGAGAAAATGGGAATATTTCGAGATGGTATTTCATTTTTATAAGTTCTCTGGGCTGGATTTCAGTGTCCTCTAAGGAGAGTTGAGGTATTTATAGCACTTGGGAAAGCCTGTTAAGAGTTTTGTGTACCCAGTCACTCAGTGGGGAGTTTCTACTCTGCCTGATTTCAACAAGGTGTGTCAGAGAACTCCCTGCTTTTAAGTGCAAGGGCACTATTTAATTATTTTTCATCAGATAAGGTCTCTTATTGCATGATTCCATCTTTGACACTCACATTGGCTGGGATATTTTAGCTGAGGCAATCAGCAGAACGAGTAAAAGGCTGGTATTTAATGTGGCAATGGGAGGAAATGGAGTTAGTTGTAAAATTTGTAGCATCCCAATTATTGTGGAAGGTAAAAACATGTTCCCCATGTTCCCAGTTCTCCCCTGGATCTGAGGAAACCTTTGAATATCAGAGATGCTCAAGAAGGAAAGCAGTTGTGTGGATCTACATGGAAATGTCGTTCTGCCCTCAGTCTTACTGGGTGCAAGCAGGGGATGAAGTATTTTAATATCACTGTGGAATCCCCTCCAAACTTCTGGGTTATTTTTGGGATTAATTGACCACCTCAGGGTTTTTACCTGCTCCAGGTGGCAGTTCCTCTCTTCCTGCAGTAGAAACAGCGCAGTAAAAGCTGGTAACTGGTTCTGCAGGTGGGTCCCCCAGTGGGGTGCAAGAAGAAGGAGGTGGCAAAAAGTGTCCTTGTCCCTGCACATTTAAGGGTTTCTTAGAAAATACGAGAAAATATCCCTGTGCAGGGCCCTGTGGTCAAACAGCCCCAGCAAACTTCCTGCCTCTTACATTTTGGGTTTGTAGCTGTGCCCTGAAGCCACGAGTGATTAAATACCTTCTGCAGGCCTGAGCAGTGACATTAAAACACAAATATCATGCTTAAAAATGATCTGTTTGTTGGTTGGTCATTCAGACAACTGTATTGTCAAAGATTTTGCAAGTAGAGGTTTTGGCATTTGTAAAAAAAATACATATTCATTTTTAAAAGTACTCTCTTTTTTTGTAATTTCAGGTTTTGTAAATTTTAATTTTTCAGCTGTGATAGAACACCTCTACCATATAAAGTTTGGTTTCAGTTACTGCTTACCACTAAAGACATGTTCACTCCCAAACCTCAGAGGAGTAATTGGTGTAGTAAATCAAGTTCTGTAAAGCTGTGTGAGATTGTCAGAAAAGAAACTTTTGATGCCAGTTCATCCTTCTGATATTCTTTATTCGATATGGTGGCATTTGCCCTTTACACTTCAACTCCCTTTCAAATGTTAACATTTCTGCAAACACTGACATTCTAACAAATTTCTTCTTTTGAGGAGCTTTACTCACAGTTGTACAGCAGTTAAACTAATTTACAGGTGCAGAGACAAGTTGGTTTAAACACGATCTTCATTTTAAAATAACATTTAGTTAGAAATTGAACTAAATGTTCCATTTCCTTTGCCTCAGAGTTACAGAATGACTGTGGTTTACCTCTGTGACTTGTTTCACTGCAGACACTGATGTGCTCAGAGCACCAAGGAAGTCTGGTTTATAGTCGTGCTTAATACTATTTATTTTCCTTCTACAGAGAGCAGGGGACACAGTCACTGGAGATACCGAAAGGTAAATGCTTCTGTTATTCTGTATTTAGATATATGCACAATATATTTATGAATTGTACTTACTGGTTTGCTTTCAGAAGCTTTGCTGCAGTATTTGAGCAATAAATTTTCAGGGGTTAGAGATATCAGCACTAATACAATTTAGTAGATGTCAGAAGTTTCATATGGCAACATCTGATATAAATATAGATTACAAAGGTGCAGATTTAAGTTTATAAAATATTATTAAGAGGGGGAAATTATACCTCTACACAGTAGTATATATTTTGCCCCACTGTTTATTGTTCCTTTTGAAATGCACTATTTCAGACTCACTCTGAGGATGAAAAGCACAATGTGTGTCTAACATGATTTTTGAAACCAATGGGCAGAATGTTTCAGTGGACACCTACAGGCTACTTCAGTCAGTACAAAATCACAGGTTATATTTGTGGCTCATATTTGATAGAGACTAAGAATGGGGTCTTTAGTTTGGCTTTTATATCTGAATCAAATCAATTAATTATAATGAAGAAAATAGTGATTTTGGTTTTCATTTGTTCCTTTGCAGTTTGTCTGATGCCTGTTTGTATTCATGTTGCATGCCATAAGTCATATTAAAAGAATAAGTTTGAAATAAAAGATACTTTGGTATCATCATCCATCCTAATTAAGCTTAATTGGAATCTGTTCATACAGATACTTGTTCTTTTTTACATTATTTTTACCCTGTATACAGCCTAAACCTATTTAAGAAGCCGAACCATGCACTGAATATAAAAAAATTAATCACATTTAGAGTGCTTTGCCTAGTCTAAAGGTTTTACAGTTGCTGCTGATTTCCTCTAGTGCTACAAACACCTCTGCATTACAGCTGAAATCTGAGGTACAACAGGATCAGTTGCTGATCACCAAACACGAGTCACCTCATGCCTGACTTTTCAGGACTGGCAGCATTTTTGCCTCTTTACATGAGCAGTTCAGTTGAAAAGCAGTTCTAGTGGTGAGAATGTGCTGGTGTTTCTCTGGTGTAGGTGCTGTTCGTGGTTAAAATGGCATTTAATTAATCAAGCAGCACTGGTATCAGAGAGGAAAGGGAGGGACAGATAAAACTCCTTATAAAAGCCAGTCTGGTCTCTCCATTCTCCCCATGGCATATTGTGTTATCTCACCATCATTACCTCAGCTAAATGGGGGGGTATTTTTGCAGTAAGTTAAATATAGGCCTGCTTAGTATTTTGTTCCACTTCCTACCCAGAGCATCCCCATCCTGTGCAGGGCAGGGTTACCTGGGGAAAAGTGTCGCTCTCGGTCTCTTTTCAAGTAACAATTGGATTTCCCCTTTTGCTCCTATCTCTTATACTTGAGTTTTCAAAACCTGCTGCTGTCTGTAAATCCAGATTATTTACTGTTTTCACTTGGTCTCTCAGCTCTTTCCCAGGTGCTGTTGTCCTGTCCTTCCCTCACACTCGCTTCTCCTTGTGTTCAGTCGCTCCCTTTTCTCCCCTTTCTTCTGGCTGTGCCCTCCTTGGGTCCCTCACCCCGACTTTCTGTATCAGAAAGAAACCACAGACCCTTCAAGACACCCTTCACACATCTCACCCCTTTTTTATTTCCTTCTCCAAGCCACAGTTTTGTGCAGCCCACAAGGGAGAGCTGCAAAGGAATTTTGTTCTTCAAGGGAATTTTGTTCTTCACGGAGCAAAGGGTGTCTCGTTATTCTGAGGGTTGCACATGCTCAGTTTGGCAGGGACGTTACAATCCAGATGGAACATCCCTGGTGGACAGGACACACGTCTCCACAGGACATCTGCCAACAGACACTTTCCAGGGACATATGACTTGATGAAATATTGGCAAACCTTCATAGCAAAAGGCTATTCTTTTATATTCTTTTATAAAATGACTTTCCCACACAGATTTCAAGCCCCAAACACAACCGTATTATATCTTTTCAATATGTTGAAAAATAGCTTAAGAGGCAGAATTAGATCTTCTCCCCCCTAATAACCCTCTTTTAAGTGATTTGAACAGCTTAAACCAAAATAAAAACAGTTCCTCAGATATTTATCCCATAGAGTTAGGCTTTGGGGAATGGGAGACAAACTGTGTGGAGAGATTGATATATTTGGATGAAATAACATTATCTCCAATAACTGAAAGAGGGGAAATCTAGGTTAGATACTAGGAGGGAGTTCTTCCCTGTGAGGGGGGGGAGGCCCTGGCACAGGTTGCCCAGAGAAGCTGTGGCTGCCCCTGAATCCCTGGAAGTGTCCAAGGCCAGGTTGGATGGGGCTTGGAGCATCCTGGGCTAGTGGGAGGTGTCCCTGCCCATGGCAGGGGGTGGCACTGGATGGGCTTTAAAGTCCTTCCCACCCAAACCAGGCTGGGATTCTGGGATTTTAACTGTTCAGAGACCTACTGAGTTTCTGTGATATTGTATTCTTTGCTTAAAAAAAAGCCAAACAACCGAAGTAATTTCTTGTCCGTAGTAGAACGTCCCCCAGGCTGCAGGGGAAAGCACCAGCAGCTCTGTGAGGAATGCAAGACTGCAGAGTGTCACTGGGAATAGGGAGATGCTTAAACTCCTGGGATGAGTGGAATGTAGGGCAAGCCCAGCAGCTTTGGGACAGCCTCGAGCAGGATAAAAGTGAGGTATCTCTGCCTGCCACCTCTGGTTGCACCAAACCCTTCTGGCACACCCACATCCCAGAGCTGGCCCAGCACTTGGCACGGGGCTGGACCTTCACCACTCCCACTCGGGGCAGGACACGGTCCAGTCACACCCAAACCCTGCCCCTCAATGGCACAGCAGGCAGAGAATCCTGGGCTCTGCTTTAAACCCATCTTGTGGCTGGAGAAGTTCCAGGGCTGCGTCAAACAGTCAGGTCTGTCCTACTTGAGTCTTCCCTGCTACTGAATTTGAAGAGTTGACAGCAAACATTCATTTTACTTACCTGAATCAGGACTTGGCACATCACTTTATATCACTAAATCAAAATGCATTTCTGCAAGAGAGGCAGTTCAGCTCCTCTCATACATTTGCAGTCCCTTTGGGAATTCATTCTTCCCCATCTTGGGGCCTCATTTTAGTCCACAGTTCTTAGCAAAAATACAAAATAAAACTGGTTACTACCTCAACAGAGCAGCTTCACTATTATTCCTCCTCCATTATTACATTTCCCCTTTCAGCATAACCTCCTTTTAGTACTGAATGTGGTGCTTTAAGCCCTTCATCAAATCTCTTTATAATTCTTGCGCTAATACCAATTTTTAAGTTATCTAACAGATAATTTTCTGTAAATATAACATGCTTTACCTCAAACCTCTTCCTGGTCTCCAACTATGATGTTCAGATACTTTTCTTACTATGAGATGCTATTGCTTTCTGCAGAAGACACTGCAGAACCCAAACCACAACGTGCAGGTGGTTTCCTGCACGCTAAGATTTCTCAAGAAGTTCTTCTGGTAAATGATACAGGGAAGCTGTGACTCCACTTCTGTTGTGATTTAGGAAATGACAGTCTGCCATTGGAGGTGGAATCACTAAATGTGGGAGTGTTCTGAGGTTTAGGAAGGCGAGTTGAACTAAATGTTCCTGGAGCAGCAGCCTCTTTGCTTTCCTGTTTACCAGGAGCCTTTGCCCCGCTGGGTGTTCACAGGTGAGAAAGGAGCAATGGGCACACACCCTGGAGTCACTGCTGCGGCTTCTTCACAGAACTCTGTGCTTAGCAGGGTTCTCCGTATTCTTTCATCTTCGTTTTACTTTAGGAGACGTTTGTAGTTGATAACAGGAAACCTTGACATCTTCCACGAGCTCTCAGTGTAACCGTGACATCAGCACGGAGCCCCCGGGGGTGCAGAGCTCCCTGCTCTGCTCACCAGCCAGGCCTGCAAGGGAAAGGCAGGCACAGTTTTAAGGCTTCTCCCTTTCCTTGCTTTTGAAAGCACGAGGGCAAAATGTGTTTAAGAATTTCTGTTCCAGAGCAGACAGATTTGACCCTGATTCAGTGTCCTATTTCCATCAGTGGCCAACACTGTTTGCACTCTACAAGGAAGGGCCTCTGGTGATGTTGCCCTGCTTTGTTCTCCATTCTCCAGAGAAAGCTCAGATATACCAGAGAAAGTATTTTTGCATTCTGAAGGGTAAAATTTTTGTGTTTGTGGCATCCTCTAGCAAAATGTTACGAACTCTCCACTGCAGGATGCTGTAAATGCACAGTATTTGTGTATATGCACCACATATTCAGGTTATTATTTTTTTCCTGTGGTCATTTGACATCTTTCATCTCTCTGTCCTAGATATGCAAGTTCTGCCATTGACCATCCAGGAAGCACATCCATGAGGAAGGTAATGATTTATAAATGTACTTCAAATAAAAAAATTCTCAGTTGTTTAATTCATTGTCATATTTTTAGAATACATTTAAGGTATCCCAAATCTTGACATTTGTCTGTCATGAAACAGCTGAAAACAAAAATCTAGACATAATTTCCATGTTCAGAAAATTGGCTGCTGCAACCACAGCAGGTCAGTGTGGCTGCAGTACTTTAGGTAAATTTAGGAACCTTAGTGTGAGTTCTGAAGTATGTGCTAGTTTGGGGTAAAGAACCATACACAATGTCTAGGCTAGAAGGCACCTCTGGAAGGGGTGTTGGCCTGAAGGTAAAGAAAGTTTTTAAAATAACTTTTAAAAATATTTAAACACTATTAATACAATGACAGGGAGAGATGGGATTAAGATTTTCAACTATTTTGGGGGTACCAATTTTGAGGTACCTCATTCGTCGATGGAAAATAGCCAGGCATTGTTTTATTTTTTAGTATTTGGCAGATATTTCATACAAAGGGCAAAGCCCAGAACTTTCACTTGTAGGATGTCAGTTCTTCACCTTGACTTGGCACTTTTTACAGTGATTTGGTTGGACAGGGTTTGGAGCAACCTGGTCTAGTGGAAGGTGTCCCTGTCCATGGCAGGGGGTGGAACTGGATATGCTTTGAGGTCTCTTCTGACCCAAACCATTGTGTGGTTGTGGTAACTCTCTGATTAATAGTTTTCCTTACAAACTCCCAAGGTCCAAGCTAGTGGAGGTCCAAGGAACTGGTTTTGCTTTTCATTTGGTGTTTCGGTGACAGCACTTCTCCTACCCCTAATTACAGTGAGATCTCATCAATTCACCTTCACGTGGCACAGATTCAACTCCACCCCTCTGGTTTTTTCCCTCCCCCACTGTGCTGCTCTGGGCTGGGGTGGCAGGGTGGGCACTCTGTGACATTCCCCTCTGTGGAGTGGCTTTGAGATCAGGATTGAGATGCTGACAGCCCCGGGGATGATGAGCTCTCCCCTCATCTGCCTGTCTCCCATGGCAACTCTGAGTCACTCAGAGTCTGTGAGTTCTGACTGTTTTCTTACAGTGTTTGCCACCAAGTTAATTATATTATAGTGGTTCCTTTATCTCTCAGAATATGGAGCTTGAATTTTGTACATTAGCAGTACTAATTAACTACTGATTCCCAAGGTATTGCAAACCTTTCATTTCCTCCGGTTTTTTTGCTTTGAATGTGTTGTATGTGAGCAGAAACAAAACAGAGTAAGACTAATTAACCTGGCTCCTTAGAAGAACTAATATTTTCAGCTCTCCTTTTTTTGTTGTGCTTGTGTTTTCATTATTTTTCAAACTTTTTTTTTAAATGATGGCACACCAGTTTCTGGTGAGTATCCTAATGTGTATCTCCTCCAGATGTTCCGTTTGTCTGGCAGTTCTTTAAATTTAATCACCTATGAAAACTGCAGTCTAATTACAGGGTTTTATTCCATCACTGTATTTCTTTAATTTAAATTGTGTCAGAATTCGGTGATGTCCTTTTCAGAAAGGATTCTGCTTTGCCCTGATGCGTTTTTACAGAGGCAGGAGCACTGAGCAGATTGTTTCAGTCCCAGTCACCACAGAACTGCAGCTGACACAACGTGACTGCCCAGTGCTGCTGCTGTGATTTCAGATACACCAATAAAACCCCAAGGTTGTTGTTGTGCACATTTAATACCTTCTCACAGACTTTTGCCTTTTGGTTTGCTGGCTGTATTTTACTCCATTTCCTCCAGCACAGGAACAATATTAACCTTTGTCTCCTCGAGTGCTCAGGAACTGCTGATTTCTGCAAGTCGCTAGAAAATGTTCAAAGCTGTGAACAGATTAAATTACAAATAGGTCTGTAAATGTCCAAACCCACTCCTCCCTCCTCTCATTTTATTTAAAATCAAACTTGGTCTCTCCAGTTGCTTGGAGCCTTGTTTTCAGCTGTTTATTTTCTAGAGTGTTTAAACATTTACATCTTTGAGGGAAATTCTTACCAGTTTTTGAGTACTAACCCTGTCTTTAGAAGGTTTAAATCATGAAATGCCTTGAGGGTTTTCTTCAGAATCTGTAACAATTTTCTAATTCAGCCACAAAAGAAAGAAAGAAAGAATTATTTTTGTTTCTCCTCAGAGTTATTCTGTCAACCTACCAACCCAACAAACTTTATTGTTTCTGTGGCTGGAAACAATTAAAGAACCTGACTTCAACATGTCATTGAACAAATTACTTTCCACATTACCTAGATAATGTTTGGGGTTCATATTTCTTTTTGAATGAATATTTATATGATTATTTGATTGATACTTACAATAAATTTCAAGTATCAGTCATTTCTGTATCGTGCACGTGAGTTTTCAAACTACTTCATAGCTATTCATGCAAATAATCCTTAACAATTTGATTGTGATAGTAACAAGTAACTTTAGAAAAACAATTGAATTTTAATTTGCAGTTTTGGCACTGTGTTGTTTTCTTCATGACACTTACAACAGTAAGAAGAGAAAATGCCAAAAAAGGAGATTCTGTGATAAGTGGTGCTGTGATAACTAAGCCCAAGATGAGCCTGGGGATGGGAGGCAATGGCAGCTGGTACATGTCGCTGCTCTTACTTGCTTTGGTGTTTCATCATTGCTTCTTTTTTTCCTTGCAGTCATTCCATTACGCTTCCCTCAGGGTAAAGAGCAGGAAATGGTCAAAAGGTAACTGATTTCTGTGAACATTTGGAATGTACAAATCGGGGCTCCTTCTCTGGTAACAACTGAGCTCAGTCAAGTGCCAAAGATCAACTTAAATATTTCTAAGTGTGATAGCAAACACCAAAGGAAAATAGCAAAATAAATGTGTTCTAAGGTATAATATTGCTTGGCTGGGTGGTACAGTTTCCTCTGTCCTAGGAAGAACAGAGGTAGTATTTGTATATTTTTCTATTTCCTTCTTCTTTGTTTGTGGCCTGTATGAGACATCAAACAATAAACAGAAAAATAGTTATAACTTAATACATTCCTATGAAAATATGAAATTTCCTACAGAGTTTTTTTCAGGAAAGAATGATACTATAATTTAAACCCCCTGATTTCTAATATTTACAAGGCATACTGAAGTTCTATGCCTCTCCATTAGGATTTAGTGAAATAACACCAAGGGAAAAACCTTTTCCTGGTGCTGTGCCTTTAACAGAATGTTGTGAAGTTAAGACACTGCTGTTCACTTAAACTCAGGATAAAAGATATGTAAACATTGCATTGTTATGGAAGTGAGAAATCTTTCTTTTTTATTGACTATAAAAATTGGGTTAAAAAATCCCAGAATTCGACAGGCCTTCTGCTTCTAAGAGGAAATATTTATGAAAAAATAAGGTTTATATTTGTGTACAGATTGTGTCATGCTCTGAGTTTCTGACTGAGGCTAAATAAGTACCTAAATTAATACAAATAAATAAATAAATACAAATTTTTAGTTTGGAATGATGCTGCCCCTCCTAATCAAACAAAAGTGCAGCCCTAACAGGGATGAACCTCAAGGGATTAACTAAACCATTGCACAAACCAACCCCCTTTATTTCGTGTTCGTGCTGGAACCAAAACTGCAGAGCGCTGTGGAATTTGGGAAATTGTTCATTCCACCTCCTCTCCCAGAAGCTGGAGAGGATTTGGCTTGGAGGGCTTTGAATTGAGCCATGACTGAAAAGGAGTGGTGTGTTTATAGCGTTTCCCTCGTGGTGTTCTCAGGGAGTTCCCTGTCCAGCGTGAGCAGGAGACGCATCTCCTGCAAGGACCTGGGGCACGGCGACTGCGAGGGCTGGCTCTGGAAGAAAAAGGATGCCAAAGGTTACTTCACCCAGAAATGGAAAAAGTACTGGTTTATTCTGAAGGATTCCTCCTTGTACTGGTACACAAACCAGAATGTAAGTATTGCAGGAAGGAAAACTGCAACCTTGGGCTTTGTAATTCTTTTGGCTAAAGTCTGGTTTTGCTGCGCTGTTGGTTGTGAGCCTGAACCGCCACTTTAATTGCCAGGGCTGGGTGGCTCCAGCTGGAAATATTTCAACTGAAATTCTTTTTTAAGTTCTCTGAGTCCATGTTCAAGCTTAATAAAACAGCAGATGTTCCTGATGCTCTCAAAGAAATCAATAGGTCAGTGGCTAATACTTTTCCACAGGTAGTATTTATTTGGAGTAACACAGTGTTCACACTCAGCTCTCCTCAGTTTCAGCTGTGTGAGGGGATGTTTAAAATGTGACATGAATAAAGTGTATTTGTCTTAGTTAAGCATTGTGTGAAGCAGATGTGAAAATCTGAATGTGTGGATCTCTTTATCTAAAAGTTATTTTTATATAGATGCTCCTCTTGCTTTTTGCTGAATTAGTCTGGAGTTTGCAGTTTCTCGTGTGTAAAATGCTGTTCTTGGTGAAATTTTACTGAAAACCATTGGCACAATCTGCAGAAATGTGGGAGGAAATAACAGAGGGGAGAAGCCCCAAATGGTTGGATGCTGCTTTTCCGTTTGTTTGCAGGGAGCCCCACAGTGCAGGTGCAGTGATTATTGGGCATTTTACTCCTTATCTCCCATTTTCTTCAGGAGAACAATTTTAGTAGAATAATTACCCTCAGTTTTTGTATTTTTCTGTCAGCCAAAGCAGTGTGGGTGATGAAGGCCCTGGGGTTCTGTGCTGTACGTGTTGGTGACAGTGCCACTCACGGGGTGCTTGCACAGGGGGGGACCCACTGAGAATTAGGCTGTTGGTACATCCAAGCCACACTCCATCGTGCACTCGCCAATACTTTTCAAAAATCTGACAGGTGTTAATACAGCTCCTTGCTTTTCCTGCTAAATTACTTCAAAAGAAGCGAAAAAAGTGACAATATGCACTTCCCAGGTATTACATCTCCATTTAATCACGGTGAGGTCCCTGCAGGAGCCTCCTCAGTTACTGTCAGCAGGGCAGATGGGCTGATAATTGTGCCTTTAAAGGGAGACATCCACCAAACACCTGTAAAATGCAGATATATCACAAAGAAACTGAGAATTTTTCGCTGGTAAGGCCTTAAATGCAATTTTTGGATGCTGTGTCTGTGGTTGGAAGGTTTTCTATGATCTTCAGCAAAGGGAGATTAGAATGGCTGGGCCTCCTCTAAGAAACTGTCAGTTGAGTTAATTCACAAAGTTATTGACATTGTGTGATGAATTAAACCCATTTCAGAGTAAAAACAGTACAGGGAAAATATGTTCAATATTTTGTTTGATTGGGTGGTTGTTCTTTGTGTAAAACCCAAATGGCTGCTGCTCATTTCTCGCTTCTTTAATTTCATGTTCTTCCTCACCATCACTTTTTCCTTCTCTTTTGGCAGGATGAGAAAGCAGAAGGATTCATCAGCTTACCCGAGTTCAGGATAGACAGAGCAATTGAGTGCAGACGAAAACAGTGAGTACAAGTGTCAGTTTTGTTTGTAAACCAAAGGATGGCTCTTGGAAGTTTACTGTACATGGGAATAAACATTTGCAAAGTCCACCAAAGGAAGTTACTGAAAAAACCTTGATATCTGCACAGCATTTTCTTTATTATCGAAGATATAATGTACTGTAAACTTCATAGCTGGATTATAGTGAATTGAGTAACCCTTTGCTCAGGTTGCCACACAGCCCAGTTACAACTTCAGCTAAGCAAGTAAAGTAAAAAACAAATAACACTTTACCCAAGAGATAAAACTTTCTCAGGTTCACAACAGCCACATTGGTAAGAATCAAGTGTGCAATAAATGCCCATAGGAAACAGCATTAAAAATGTCATGGCAATGGATGGTAAATAGAATCTTAATTTTCTCCTTTATGGAGGAAGCTTTACATACCCAATATTGTGTTGTTCTCAACTGCTAAAATATTTAGGTTCCATATGCAAAATGAGCACTGCATTATTGCTTATGTGCAGATTGCTACTTCTACATTTTGCTCCCAGTAAAAAGCACATTATAAGCTTTTCCATAATTAAGGCATATTTAATAACAGACACTCACTGGAAATTGCTTCCAAGCAGTGTTGGAATAGGAATTAACATGTTTAACAGAACAATTCCAGTGCTTTCAGACAAGCACTTTGCTGGTATCTCCTCAGTTATTTGCATTAGTTTTCTTTACACTTTCCTACTTTTAAATAAGCATCTTGGATTTTTGGTGTGCTTTTCCAATGACTGAATGCAGGTCTGATCTGAGGAACACAAGTCTTACAACTATGAACACATGTACAGTGGAAATATTGAAGATATGCATTACAAAAGAGTCTGCTCATCAGAAAATCAAACCTCTTCATTGCCTGTTCTTTTCTGGAGATGTTATTACTGTGTCTGAGAAGTACAAGAGAGTGCAATTTCTACTTCTATTCCTCCTTTCAGCTGAGGGTATCACTATAGAAATTACACATGAACTGAGCACTATAAATACCTCAGAGCAACGAGTAGATATTAATAATGATATTGAACAAAAAAAAAATACAGGAAAAATAATACCCTTTTGTTAGAATATGAAGCACTTAACAGATTTCAGTGAACTAAGCAAGATCAAACGGGAGGTCACTGTGCATAGCTAGAAATAGCTTCCAGAGCTTTCCTCTAAGCAGGAGAACACAATCCCTCAGAGCTCTGCTCAGAGAGCCGTTTCTGGAGGGTGTGTGCTCAGGAAAAAGTCCGATTAACCGAAACTCTGCACACGGCTGAGAGCTCAGAACCTTCGGGCTTTGAATCCTTTCAGAAAGAGGCAGGTCCAGGGGTAAAACTATAATGAAGATGTTCATAGTATATTCCCTTTATTCCTGAGCTGAATTTCCCTTTGATTTCTTCCTTCATGGACTATCATTTATGTATTTCCCCCATCACAAAACCCACACTTTACATTTGCCATTACTTTATCTGCTCCTCTGAAACTGCAGAGGATGTAAGTGCAGGGTCAGGCTCACTTAAATCGGGTATATCCAGCATGTGGGAGTGGAGGGTCCTGCTTGTATCCAGCCAGCTCCAACCCACAGCCCCTGGGAGCACACTGGGAAGCTCTTCCCTGTCCTGTGCTGTCTTACCAAGGACAGGAGCCTGATTCCATTGCCTGATTCCACTGAAAACCTAAAATCCCAGTGTCGCTCCTTCAGCTCTCTCAAAAGCAAAGCTAAGAACGTTTTGGGACTCGGCTTGGATTTCCCCTCAGATTTCTCTTATTTTCAGAGCCACTGATGTGAAATGTTCAAACCCCTTTGAACAAAAAGATTTGAAGCCTTACTGGGATAATTAATGGATTTCTCTCTCCCCTTCCTGTGCTGGATGGAGAGTTCTGTTCCGCAGCCTCACTGCTCCTGATGTCCACAGCACACGGGGGACAGAATAGCCTTAAGAAAGCTCTCACAAGAACATACAGTAATTGCATTATTCTGTATGGTTTGATGATTTGCCTCAGTAATGCATTTAATGAAGGTACCCTGATTATTATCTCAGACTGGTTCAGCTCTCCGGGCTATATCTGGACCTAGAATGACCTCATCCCTACGAAAGGAGGCTTTTTGCATTGACACTGAAAACCTTTCCACTGCTTTTAGGCAACACCTGCATCTTCCTGATTAGCAATGATCATACTGCATGAGGAACCACAGTTATTTCAGTCTGCATGCTGTGGCGTGACATGAATATCGTGTTATTTTCAAAGACACTGGTAATTATAATGCCCCATGATGAAGCTGATCCCCAGATATAAAGAGTAATTGAACCAGTGATACAATTAATCATTATTAACCAGTGCTTTGCCTGAACCTTCAGCAATTTGCACATAGTGAGAACTTTCATTGCCTGGTTAATGCAAATTTAGGTCTTAAATTTATCAAGGATAATTTGGCACTTTGTATTGAAACTGTGCAGTTACTCTACACAAATGTCATTGATGTGGTACAAGTAGACATGAAGTTTTAAATAACATAGACATGAAGTTTTAGCTTAAGTGTTACTACAGTTTTAGTAATTTTTATTACTTCTGCAAAGAACTTGACAGTCTTGCAGCCAGCAAACCCCACTTGAGCAACCAGTGGGTCCCCACAGGGAAGAAGCTTCCCCTTAAAAGGGATTATTCCCTTATCCTTGGCACTCATCACACCACACCTACATCACTGCATCCAGTTTGGGGCATTCCAAAAAAAGCAAAATGTAAAATATATAGATATCATTCTTTTGCATTATTCATATTTATACATCTCGAATTGTTTCCCTGGAGACTTTTCTTTTGTTCCAAATGCTGGTGTGTCTAAATGTTTCCCTAATAATAATCTCTGTGACATTGCTGGGAGATGATGAAGATGGATTTATTGTCATGTTTTGCAGCCCTGACACAGAACTGCAAAACATTTCAGTGAAGAGTTTGCACAGAATTGGGATCTCCATGTCACAACAATAAGGAGCTGTTTTCTGAGTCTGTGAACATGTAACAGTGCAATCTGTTATTGCAGCTGGAATTCTCACCATCTCAGGGAACCAACACAATGTCAGGCAACAAGATCTTAAGGAACATTCATATAGTAACCAATTATGTCTGTTTGCTGGGACCTGGCATGTGAGAACTCCTTTGCAGGAGGACCTGCAGCATTTAAATTATCTGCCCTTGACAAAATTCTTGCTCTTTCTGCATTTTATGAGCCATTCACAAATTGTTTTCCAACTGAGACAGGAGCCTGTGGTGCCTTTTCTGTTGCACAGTCCTGACATCACTTCCCTGTCCCTTGACTGAGGTAGAGTTACTGTGAGAATGTAGCAGTGAAATAAATAATCACAGAATCACAGGTTGGTTTGGGTTGTAAGGGACCTCAAAGATCATTTAAAGATCACCTTATTCCAACTCCCTGCCCATGGTCAGGGACACCTTCCACTAGAAAATGATCCACCGATCACAGATTAGATGACATCACAGTGGAACCAAATTGAATTGTGTTTATCACACTAACTCTGACATTTTTCTAACTTTTAAAAGGTTAATTTGAAACCCCAATACTGGCATTTTAATGCCTTTATGTATGTAAATGTCCTGTCTGGGAAAATAATCCTATTTACAAGCAGGCACTTCATCATGTGATATTCTCTCAGGATTAGCTGAGAGGATTAGAATCTTTAGATCCACCACATAATCCTCCCCAATTCCAGCCAATCCTTACACCTCAGCACTGGGAGATGTCGGGCAAATGGAACAGGAGAAGGTGTAGATGTTGCACAGAGTTCAGACCAAAAATATAACTATGCAGGAGTGTTTGTTCAATCATGATTTTCTGTTTTGAGCATTAAAAATTTAGCTCTGTGAGGAATTTCTTTAAGAAGGTGCAGTGTTTGCTAATTACTGTGTAATTAATGATGTGTAATGTCCTGCTCTAATTCACGTGGGTATAAAGACTTGCACAAAACTATTCCCCTTTTCTCACCCCCAGACAGATAGCAGCTGTTTCCACAGAATCACTTGAAGGTGCTGGCGCTTGGTGGGCACAGGGGAGTAAAAAGTTCTGCAACAGGAAGCAGGACGCTAATAATAAGAATTTTTGACGGGGAAATCATTTGGGTCAAAGAAATCCTCAGTTTGATCAGAGTATCCTTAAAACTCCAATTATATAATGATCCAAAGTAGTTATAATTAACAAGCCTATGCCATCTAGTGGGCAGCAGAAAGGTTCCACCCTGTGTGGGATTTCTCATTTACTCACTGCCTTTATTTGCAAAATAGAAGTAGGCAGGGGGATGAAGCTTTGCAGTTGGAATTATCACTGTCCAGACACCAAAACAATACTGAAATACCTCTCCAGTCTTCTTCATGGAATTTAGATGTTTTGTGATGACCCTCTGTGCAAAGATAACCTCACCTTTCACACCTCTAATCTCATGGAAAAGGAAATCGCACATAAATACAACTTTTGTTAAGAAAGCCTGTTATTGGATGCATTTTAATCAATAAAACATGTAGGAAAATCATTGTGACCAAGGGAAGCTTCTTCAGCTTTCATTTTGTCTCTGAAAACTGTAAGAAATTGTAGTAATTAATAAAGCACTCATTTGCATTTAAGCTATTAATAGTGGAAACGTTGCATCACAGGTTCTTCATAATTACACGTGTAATGATTCCTAATCTAATTCTTACATCTGGCAATTACTGCCTAAATGTCAGTATTTTAACATAAATGTTATGAATGATAGTGTGGCATTTTTTTAACATTTGCCAGCTAATCAAATTAATAGTCTTTAAAGCTGGGAGTTTGTGGTTTCCTTGATAGCAACGCTCCTTTTCATTATACCCATACAGAAATTTTGTGAATATATGATTATTGTTCTTAGCTGAGGGAGAGCCCAGGGATTATATCACATAAAGGCATTAATAAAAAGCATTTTATGTGAACTATAATCACCCATGCTGTCAGACTGATTATTATCTATTGTTCCAGTGATTTCTAATTTAACAGAACTTGGCAGCCCTCTATATTTCTTTCTGTAGGACACAAAACATTCTTCTAAATATATGAGCAGTGGAGGGGGAATCAGACCCTTAGTCCTCCAGCTGATCTCTGGAATACAACTAAGATGTACTTCAATATACTCAGGATTTTCAGGAGTTTGTTAGATGTGAAACATCAGCGGTTACTGAAAGGATTCATATTTCTAAGTCCTTCAAGGGCTTTTGGAATTTTTACAACAAAGTATGAGGTTCACAAATGGAGATGTAATCAGAGCAGGAGGAATCCAGCTATAAATCTGTGCAGCAAGATTCAGCCTGAAGGTTACAAATGCCTGTGAAACCTGCCCCATGCTGGGGAATCACCGAGCAGGGCAGCCTTGTGTGTTTGTAGACAAGCTGAAAAAAGGTGGGTTTTATTCTTTGTGCTCTTTTTACAGTGCCTTCAAAGCATGTCACCCCAAAATAAAGAGCTTCTACTTCGCAACCGACTGCCTTGAAGAAATGAACAGGTGAGTTGTGTCTCCTCTTGATCGGGGGATGTTCTTTCTCCTGGTGCTTCAGCATTTCATCTCCACAGGAATATACTCTTGAAGATCACGTAATGCTGGCTGATGGGCTGCTCAGGACTTAGTCCACTCAGGCTTCCATTAATTTTAGTAAGCACATTATATTCTCTGGCTCACTTTGCTGAAATTTCCTGCAAAGGAGAGTCAGTTGTGTTGGTCTCATCTACGATAATTAGAAACTGGGCTTTGTTAATGGGCATAAGGTTTATCACACTTGTGATTTTTTGTTAATCAAGGCTGGAAGTCTTAGTGGGATCAATGTTTCTGTTATATAAAAACAATGCAAGCACACCAAGGCTCATGCAGAGTATGCCCAGTGATGGGACAAGGCATTTTAAAGATAGCTCTGGTGACAATCTACAGTAACATGACGTGACCTAAAACCAGAAAAAAATCAACTTGGAGTAGTTTTTGTAAGAGGGATGGGATTGAAATTGACATGCATTTATTTTTTATGTATGAAAAGAAATAAGAATCAACTTCCTCCCCACACCAAAGGAAAAACCCCAACACTGGAAATCAGAAGTAACTAATTTTGTTCACCACGTCACTGTCCCAACACAGAGCAGAGGCCAGCAAAGTTCCATTTGGGGGGCTGCAGTGTGCTTTCAGATATCCTTGGATGTGCTGGGAGGACATTCCAAACTTGTGACTGGACAAGGCCCTGGACAACCTGATCCCACATTAAAGCTGGACCTGCTGTGGGCGGGTGTGGGAACAGACACCTCCTGAGAGCTCTTCTAGCCCAAATTACTCTGTGCTTCTCTTGTGATCGAGTGATGAAAGCAGAGGTTAGGAAAGGTGGGACAGTGCCTTTGATCCCAAAAGGCTCAGTCAAATGTCCTACCTCCCCCTGTTACACCAGGAGTTTGAGTATTCCCAGCTGAGGTGGAAAACAAGGACAGGTGGGACAATGTCACCACACTGGGAAGTCTGAAATCCTTCCTGGCACAGTTGTCTAAAACTTTGAGATTTAGTTTGTTCTTACTGTTTGCCAGCTTGGAAAGACAGAGCTACATCAGGATACAGCTGGATTTTTCTTTGGAATATTAGTGCCTACAAATTATCATTGCATTGACCATTTCTGTTGCAAGGTTTACAGGACACAGTGTGCTGGTGTAGGAGACCTGCTGGCTTGAGACAGCTCAGGCCAATATTTGTCCACTGAGAAGGATGATGAGGTTCAGTTACTGGGATCCTTTAAGGGTATAAATTTGCTGGAACGTGTTTTTTCCATGTTGTCCACATTCCATTGTCCAGTTGTGTGGCTCAGGTTTGTTTGGACTAAACCAAAGTGAGGATGTTCTGTTGTTTAACTCAGCGTGGTCTCTGCCTTGGCCTTTGTTACTGTGGGAGCTCTCCTTTCCTGAAGAGCCATTTATCACATTTATCTATTATACATAAAAGGTTCTGACTCAAGGAAAACCTGCAAGTCTTGACATAGCTCAATAAGCTGCTTTTATAATATCCATTGATTTTTCCATGGGGAGCCAAGGGAGCTGCCTTTCTGGCAGTGTACAGCCTTTGAGCAGAGGAGCAGCTGGGAAGGTGCCAGCATGTCTTTTCATATCATACCCCCACTTCATATCCTTTACTTTGGAATTTACAAGAGCCGCTTTCCTGATTTTTTGGGTCTGATTCCCACGGGAGAAGGCAAAGGGTGAACTTCCACTTCAAGTATTTTGTGCAGTATTCTCCCTTCAGCAGTGCTGTTTCTGTAAAACACTTGTAATTCACTCCTCACCCAAATGATGGATGACTCTGCTACCTCTGTGAAATCCTGGGCATCCCCTGCAGCTTTTCCACGCTTCCTGGAATTCCTCCTCCCACATGCCCTGTGTGAATTTCAAAATGAGGACGCAAGATTCATAGATGAGAAGCGCATTTAAAACACTAATTTCACAAATCTCCCTCTTCCCAGCAAATTGCTGACCATGTAATGTGAGGAAATAGGGCAAATGCTTTGCATGGCATCTCCCTTTCCTGCTGTCACCACAAAATTTAACTGGATTTTCCCTGCTGTCAGAAGGTTAGATCCTTCATGCTGAAAAGGAAGGGAGTTCTAACATGGAGAGGAACATCCTTTATTCACTATGTGGGGAATGTTTGCTCTTTTTTCAACTGCCTTTGCCACCAGCTCTTGTTTTAACAGCTCTTTTTAGACTTTCTTACATCAGGTTCACTGTTTAATAGTTTTCCCCACTCCAGAATATTTTAATCTGCCTTTGACCCAGCATTGCTGGTGGGAGGGTTGTACCCAACAGGCAGGAATTGATTTGTCTGTACAGATCGAGGTGCTCAGCTGGAGCTGAGCTTTTCCTGCTGTGCTTTCCAGTCCAGACACTCTTGGCTCTGCAAAATTAATGCTCGTGCTGTTTTGTCAGGTCTTACACGAGCAGAGCCGTGTTCTTGGAAATGAATTAATAATGGAATTGATGAGCTCATCTTTTGCTTGCTACTCCAGGCTTGTTAAAGGCCTTATTTCCCAGAAGTGCTTCATCTATTACCGCCCCACACATAACCTGTTTATGGCTTTAATTAGCATTGAATTTAATATTCGGTTGTTTTACAATATCTACTTTATTTAAAACTTCCATGTCATTGAAGTCTGCAGTGCAGTGCATTTGCAACCTCCTCACGGGCTCTAAATATTAAATTTAAAAAAGTTTCTATTTTAGGCTGAATAATTTGATCACATTTGATTTGAATAACTGGGTTAACTTTGCAGTTTTAATAACTACCATAAATCTTTTGCATTCATTCAAAACACATAACAAATATCTGCTCCTGAAAGAGAACAATGATTGATTTTTATAGGGGTTACCCAATATTTTTCAAGGAAAGACCTGAAATATTATAGTTCAATATTTCTTTTAAAATGAAACTGCTTGAACATTGAAGTATTCTGAATTAAGTCTCTATTGTTCATAAGCAAATTTTATGGTGTCTCCCATCTACTTTTATGTATTGGGTATAACTGAGTTACTCCAGACTTCCCCTAAATCATCCTGTTTATTACTAAAGTTTGTTCAACTGTTTAGCTTAAATTTGAGGTGGTTTAATCTCCTTGAGAGGTCTCAGCCAAATCAGATGGTGAGCCAGGATTAACACATCTTTCACAGTTTCAATGTACTTTGTCTTCACCTTAAATAACCCAACACCTCAGAAAAGGTCTTGGCAACTCAAAGTTTCATATATGTGGCCCTATCAGACATTTTCCCTCTTAACCAAGAGCTCCTGGAGAAGTGGCACATCTGCCTGACCTAATTTAACAATAGGGCAGAGTAAGTTACTGCAGAGCTCTTACCCCATGGAAAGCAAGGAGAGAATTCTGCAGAACAGGGAAGGAGCTTTTCAAACAGATATCCCTGAAATGGAAGTTCCCAGTGGTGCTGTAAGTAGACATAAAGAGCAGGTTTTCCCCTCCTTCCTTTATGTTCCCATAAACTTGTTTCAAACCCCTGCCCGAGGCCATGTCAGCCCTCTGATTTATTGTTCTCACATTAAAAGCTCTGAAGTTGCAGCACAAGTGGAACAATTTTGTGATCAGAATGAGCTGCAGGCCCAGGTAGGGGGGGAAACCACAATGTTTATGGCAGTGAGCAGGGCAATAGTGGAGGAATACACCAGGAATTCCTAAGAGTGAGCAGTAAGTCTTCCAAATCTCCTTTCCTTGCTTGTCACCCAGCTCCTCATTTCTAGGATTTATGGATGACTTACTGTAGAGCTGTGAACTTCCATTCCCCCCTTAATTCAGTTTGAGACTCTCTGGTTTATAGCGTTGCACTAAAGGAGTTTGCAATCCACAATTGCAATTATCCACTCAAATTAGCATTCAGGTGTGATTTCCTCCCTGGTGCAGGAGCAGGACCTGCATTGGTTTTCTCCGCTAATTTAAATTACAAAATTAACTTAATCATATTCTGCTGTAAATAATACCACTGTGAATTGATCCAGTTCTTCTGGGATGCATTTAATATTGCAGGTTTTCTTCAGCTGCATTTGATATTGCAGGTTTAGTGATTCCAGCTCTGCCTGTGTCCCAGTCTAGACTGGGGTGGGAGACACTGGGCTAACACTGCCAAGTCTAAAGATTTAGTAAGGGAAATAAGTAATATCATAATTAAGTAGTTGGGCACTTAAGAGGATTGGTTGGCCGATTTGATTTCTTCAAGACTATGTGGAAGTAGAATTACATAATTTCTCAAGTAAATCATCCCATTTCTTAAAAAAATTTCCCTCTAAATCCCCCAAAAAAACCCCACCCAAACTTCAGGCCATGCTAAACTCAGTTCTGTTGCTTATAAGGAATGTTTCCTTTCTTCAGAGCTTTCTTTTGGGCCAATCATTTGGTGAAAGCTGGGGCAAAGATCTGAATACATGAGTCAAAAGTTCCAGCTGAGTGAGTTTTTGTGACTGTTTTGGTAGATTTTCTTAGGGATTACTATTGGTTTTATATGGAATTATGGTCTATCAGTTATTGTGTGCATATTCTCTGTGCTACATGACTATATTTATACAACAAAGGCTATTTTATTACCAGAAGGGTAATTTATTTGCTACAGAAGTAATAATAAACTTTTGTCTGTTACCCACTGGGGAAAACCAAAACCGACCAAACAAAATAAAAGCCCCACACCAAACCAGACTTCTGAGCAGAGAGGCATAATTATGCCTTTGTTTGACAGGGTGAAGCTGAAAAAAAGATTGAAAACAAAAATAAATATCCCACTAAGTGCATGAAGTGGATGCACAGGCGAAGAGGGCATGAATTGCCACGGTTCACTTGTCAACTCTGGAGCTGTCTGGGGCTTTTTTCCCTGTTTTTCCAGGCTGACAAATCTAAGAAGACAATGCATGAAACAAGATCAACAGTCATGTCAAATTATCAAATCAGAGAGTACTTACAGTTTATCCCATGAATGATTCTACTTAACAAATCC